CATTTAGAATTTATATAAATCTCAATTAAAAGCTAAAAATAAGACTAAAACATTTAGAGCAGATGGGAGATTAAAGGATTGAGTAAATAAAAATGCATTTGCTTAATACCAAAAGGACAGAAGCTTTCAGGGGTTCCGGGATAAGATCTTAATGTCTGATGTTGGATGAAATTGTTGGTTAGAACGAGTCCTACCATTTGTTAAAGAGGGGAACTTGCCTCAGGCAGCAGATTCTGGAAAGTAGTAATGATGCATCAGAGGATGCTACTTGCTACCTTAAGTAGCATGGCAAGAAGTGAGAGTCGGTTTGGTCTAGTGGTTAAGGCACCAGACTAGAAACCCTTGAGATAGTAGTTCTAGTCCTGCCTTAGGCACAAAAGCCAGCTGGGTGACTTTAGGCCAGTCAATTTCCCTCAGCTTAGCTTACCTCACAGTGTTGTTGTTTGGGGGAGGAAATCGGACAAAGAGGAAGGAGTATTCGGTATGTTTTCCACCTTGAGTTATCAATAAAAGAGGTGTGTTTGTGCATACATATATAGACAGACACTGTCCCATCAGCCACACTGATGAAAGATGTATTGCCATATGGACAAGGAGAGTATAATACTGCCTTTTATCTTGGATTTGTATCTATATGTAGATCTAGTCTCTTATTATAATAATATAATATAATGTAGTGTAGCATAATGTAATGTAATATCTTATACCTCTGTCTTTGGCTTTTATTTGACATTGAGATATGTAATCCTTCCTTCAGGATCAGCAATGATATGAGAAATGCAGAAAAAGAGTAAAGAATAGTAAGCCAAAGAAATTGAATGTATGAAATAAGAAAAAGACAAAAAAAGGAAATACAGCTATACCTATTTTACAGCTATGGTATTCATTACAATTTACCATACTATTCCTAAGTATTCTTGTCACTCATGCTTGCTTTCCCCATGTCTGTACATCACTTTGTATGCCTTTTGGTCTTTCAACTTCTCATTTTTCTTTCTCAAAATCTCATCAACAGTTTTCATTTTTGATTTTTTCAATTGTCCTTCCTCAATCAATTACTTTTCCTTCATATATCTGCTTGATGAGTTGATCTTCATTCATTCAGCCATTGTGTACAACCAAACCACTTCAGTGTATTTCTTTCATACCAGTCACTCATATATTCAATCAGTATTCGCATAGTACTAATTCATTTTGTAGTTCAATTCCACACAATTCTACGATACTCTGTAGCCTGATTATATTCATTCTTTTCCAAGCAGCTTCCACCTCTTTTTTGTATCCACTTTCCATTCATTTTGTTGGGAGATTAATCTACTGACTTTTTTCAAACCGGGAAAAAATTATCTTCCTGAAATTGCTCTACATTCATTCTTGTTTATTTCACTTCCTTCTCTTTTTTCCATATTGTTTTTTTTTCCCCCAAGATCCTTTTTTTCTTTCAAATTTTGAATTTCAGAACAGCTGTTCTGTAATATTGGTAGGTCCTTTTGCAACACACAATGAGCTAAGCACTAAAATAGTATCTTTGCAGAAGATATATTTCACAATGTCAACCTGCGTATTGTGAAATTATTTCCTGGTATCTTTCATTTTGAGACCCAAGGGTGCTTTTTTTTCAGGAGGCAACTGGACTTTCTTGTGTTTCTTTTGAAGACGTTTCACTTCTCATCCAAGAAGCTTCTTCAGCTCTGAATTCTGGGAGTTGAAGTCCACGAGTCATAAAAGAGCCAAGGTTGCCTACCCCTGGACTAGATGGTGGGGAGTGGAAGGATTTATATTGCTTGTAGACAGATGGTCATTTGCATTCCTTTGTTGTTGTTAATTGCGAAGTCGTGTCCGACCCATCGCGACCCCATGGACAACGTTCCTCCAGGTCTTCCTGTCCTCTACCATCTTCTGGAGTCCATTTAAGTTCACGCCTACTGCTTCAGTGACGCCATCCAGCCACCTCATTCTCTGTCGTCCCCTTCTTCTATTGCCCTCAATCTTTCCCAGCATTAGGCCCTTCTCCAGTGAGTCCTTCCTTCTCATTAGGTGGCCAAAGTATTTGAGCTTTAACTTTAGGATCTGGCCTTCTAAAGAGCAGTCAGGGTTGATCTCTTCTAGGACTGACTGGTTTGAACGCCTTGCAGTCCAAGGGACTCGCAGGAGTCTTCTCCAGCACCATAGTTCAAAGGCCTCAATTCTTTGTCGCTCAGCCTTTCTTATGGTCCAACTTTCACATCCATACATTGCAACTGGGAAAACCATGGCCTTGACTANCCCATCTATTTGCCAGGAATTGAGAGGGCCGGATGCCATGATTTTGGTTTTCTTAATGTTGAGTTTCAAGCCAACTTTTGCACTCTCCTTCTTCACCCGCATCAAGAGGCTCTTTAGTTCCTCTTCACTTTCTGCCATTAGAGTGGTATCATCTGCATATCTTAGGTTGTTGATATTTCTCCCGGCAATCTTAATTCCACCTTTTGATTCATCTAGCCCTGCCTTTCTCATAATGTGCTCTGCATTCCTTTAGAGAGTCCTTGAAACCATTTTGGATGTTTACCTGTGTCCTCAGGGTATCCTGAGAAATGCAAATGTGTGTGGAGCCTTCTTGACTGCAGGATGTTTTCTGCCCTGTGTCCCTTCACTGCTGAAAACAGGCACAGGCTGTTGGGGATGATTCTGTGCTGTCTGAATCTCAAACTGAAGCACAAATCATTCCTGAAGTCCTTCTACTCCCCACCATCTAGCCAGAGCTGAAGAAGCTTCTTGAACAAGAAGCAAAACATCTTCAAAAGAAACACAAGAAAGTCCAGTTGCCTCCTGAAAAAAGCACCTTTGGGACAATCATACCTGGATGACTGAGAATCTCCATAGACAGTCCTCTCATTTTTTATTTATTTATTTATTATTTTGAGAGACTTAAATGCCCAGAATCAATTAATTTCCCCCACACTCACCATCTGACATTTTTGTAGAGAGAGGGGGCAATATATTTTGGCTGGCAGGTAACAGAAGGAGACATCCAATAAAATAAAGCTGTGAGGAAGGGAGATTCCCTCAGAAAGTACCCTGCGATGCAGCTGTTATGAAGAAGTGCCAGTTTATGAGTTAGTTGTAAGTGATGCACAAAAAAAAGAAGGGCCAAAAGAAAATAAAACTTTGCATTAGCATTTTTCCTGCTTATTTGATAGAATAATAATAATAATAATAATAATAATAATAATAATAATAATAATAATAATAATAATAATAATAATAATAATAATAATAATAATATAATAAAAAGTTGGAAGGGACCTTGGAGGTCATCTAGTCCAGGGCTTTTCAACCAGTGGTGCGGGTACCACCTGTGGTACGTTGGCACTTGGCAGGTGGTACGCAACCATCCTAGAAAAGTGGTAGCAGGGGAGGGGAATGAGCTGAACCGGTGGTAGCACCGCACAAGCCTGAGCGAGAGATGGCTGGAGCTACAGGGCTGTCAGGGCTCAGCGGAAGCACCAGGATCAGTGCCGTTTTCCATCTGATTGGCGCTTCGGGCTGTCAGGGCTCAGTGGAAGCGCCAGGATCAGCGCCAGGCTCCAGCTGAGCCCTGAAGAAGCACCAATCAGCTGGAAAGCAGCACTGATCCTGACGCTTCTGCTGAGCCCAGAAGAAGCGCCGATCAGCTGGAATGTTGCAGCCTCTCCAGGGTCTTGTGATTTACATTCAGATGCTTGGCAACTGATTCATATTTATGACGGTCACAGTGTCCCAGGGTCATGTGAAGTGACCAAAACCTGCTGCAACCACCCAGCAGATGGGGGGCGGGGGGAATAAAAACCAAACACCCCTCCACCCCACCCCCGCTGCCAATCTTTAACAGAAATGCTCACAACAATGAAAACCTCCGATAGGAGGAAGAGCGCCGCCAAGCAGGCAGGCATGTGTCTTGCTCGGCTGTGGCTTGGGCGGCACTTTTTTCAGTGCCATTGTAACTTCGAACAGTCACTAAGCAAGTTGTTGTAAGTCGAGGACTACCTGTACTTTATCACTTTTTTCCTTTTTTTTTTTTGGGTCATCAAGCTTTTGACACCTTGCTAGGCGACTGGTGGTACTCAGATATTGCCATATCCTAAAAGTGGTACAATGGGTGAAAAGGTTGAAAAGCCCTGATCTAGTCCAATCCCCTGCTCAGGCAGGAAACCCTATACCATTTCAGACAAATGGTTGTCCAGTCTCTTCTTTAAAAAAAAGAACTCATTAGATGTGTCTGGGATTGTGATTTTCCAGAAGTTAAATTTTGTGTGAGATTTAGTACAGTAGAATGGATTGTAGCAAAAGCAATATTCTTTTTCAGTGCTCTTTCATATGATATGTTCCTTCAAATAAAAAACTGGCATGGTAGAGGGAGAAACCATCCTTCTTCATTTGAAGAAATTTGGCTTACGTTTACCATGCTAAGGCTCTGCCCCAGCTTGTATTCCTGTAGGAGTGCCTTTCACTACAAAGCAGAGGTATCCACAGAGGGGTGGTGAAAAAAATCAATATGGGAGCCACTGCCATACAATGGAAAGCCAACACATTGTGAACACCCCTGAAGAAACTACAAGGAAAATAGGACCAAAATTGCTACCTTGGAATAACTTTCTCCAGTGTGGTGTTTTCAAAATGGATATACTGACTGTAGAGATGAGAGGTGTTACAGTTCAACCCCACTGTAAGCGGCCAGGTGAACAAAAGACTTGCATTAATCTATTTATATTCAATAAATAAATTGTATAGGACCACCTAGTTGATTGGCAATTCAAAACAGTTTCTGGCAATTTAATCCTTTGTTTCTCAACTTTGGCCGCTTGAAGATGTGTGGACTTTAACTTCCAGAACTCCCCAGCCAGCAAAGCTGGGAGTTGAAGTCCGCACATTGTCAAGGGCCCACGGTTGAGAAACAACTGATGTAACCCATTTGCTGTTGCAGACAGGCTACAAACCAGTCTATGCTGTTCTTAACATGATGGATTCCATCTCATCTCTAGATTCTTCACCTGAAGCCCAGCCCAAATACATCAAGGATGGAAAGCGCTATGGGAGGCGGTCCTTACCAGAGTTTCAGCAAACCGTGGAGGAATTTGCAGAGGTGACAGTGATTGAGCCTTTGAACAAGGATGCTCTCTCATCCCGTCTCTCCAACAATGACTGTGATGAGGTAAGGATTTAAAAGCAAGCGAGGTAGATAAAGAGAAGGGAGACTGGAATTAAGATTGAAAATCCTTCTGTACGCATATGTGCAAAGTGTTTCAATATTTCTTTCAAGAATTATTAAATTTTAAGATAGATGGACTTCAACTCCCAGAATTCACTAGCTCGCATGCATAAGGTCAAAGTTGCTGAGATTGAGAAACACTGCTGTAGACCTTGGGGCTGGAGTTTTGCTTCCTAAAGTCTATCTTTTAATATTGCAGCTTGTTGGTTTCTGGTTTTGTAGGCACCATGGAAAAGCATATTGAAAATACATTTTAGAAGGAATTCAAAGTGAAGCAGAGAATGCAGGATGTAGAGAAACTTAAGTTGAACTAAAACAACATAATTATGTTGCATCTTAAAATCAATAGGTTAGACTGGCATAGGTCTGTTTGGATCCTGATCCACTTCATAAGAGAGGCACAGTTATACAGGTAGTCCTCGACTTACAACAGTTCATTTAGTGACTGTTCAAAGTTACAACGGCACTGGAAGAAGCGACTTATGCCCGTTTTTCACACAAGCGTTGCAGCACTCCCATGGTCACATGATCAAAATTCAAATGCTTCACAACTGACTCATTTATGACGGTTGCATTGTCCTCGAGTCATGTGATCCCCTTTTGCAACCTTCTGACAGGCAAAGTCAATGGGGAACCCAGATTCACTTAACAACCATGTCCTTGACTTAACGACTGCAGGGATGGACTTAACAACTGTGGCAAGAAAGGTGGTAAAATGGGACAAAATTCACTTAACAAATATGTTACATAGCAACATAAATTTTGGATTCAATTGTGGTCATAAGTTGAGGACTACCTGTACTTTTGAAAAAAGAATATTGTGTTAGGGCTGCGAAAATCTGGGAAGGGGCGCTTCGATTCACTCCCAAAGTTTGTAGAGTGAGCTGTGGTGGCGCAGTGGTTAGAATGCTGTACTGCAGGCTACTTCTGCTGACTGCCGGCTGCCAGCAGTTCGGCATTTCACTTCTCACCGGCTCAAGGTTGACTCAGCCTTCCATCCATCCGAAGTCAATAAAATGAGGATCCAGATTGTTGGGGGCAATATGCTGACTCTGTAAACCTCTTAGAGAGGGCTGTAGAGCACTGTGAAGCGGTATATTAATCTAAGTGCTATTGCTATTGCTATTGCTCAAATTCATGTTCATTGCATCAGTGATACTATTGAATCATCTCATCCTCTGCTGTCCCCTTCTCCTGATGAGAAAAAGGTAAGCTGATAAATGTGGCAGCAGGCAATCAACAGTTAGAAAAAACTGTGAGTTATTCTGGTCAGTTACTAATACCGGAATTGCCATCTTAAGTCTTGTTCTACTTCTAGGTACCTCCCAAAATTCAAGGAGGATGAGCACTCACAAAATGGTGTCAAGCATTAATGGAGCTATGGCCCAGGACAATCACTAGTGGCTTTTAAACTTATGCTGAATTTCTTCTTGCCTTATCTTTGATTATCCTTTGCCTCAAAATGGAATGCAGTTCCAGTCTTACTTTGCAAAGAACATCCAGAGAGGACAAAAGCAAAATAAGAGAACTCTTATTAATGCAGAGAGAATTTTATTACCTGCCAAGAGTGAACTGCTGGAATTGCACATGGACCAGGAGCTACAGGCAGTGATTTATTTGATGGTTATGGGAAAGATTATCTTTGGACAAAGGCCAGAGTTACAACCACTGAGTGTAGTCTTCATGTACCTTTAGGAAAGACAGAGTTGAGCCAAACTTCTCAGCCCAAGTACTAAGTTGCTGCAGTTGAATCATGAGTAAGTCTGATATTCCAGTGAAGATGCCGAACTAGGTTTGAGGAGATCCATGGTCTCCTCATAGTCATGGAAGGTTACTATATGATTTAGGACTAGACACTCTTTCTCAGCCAACCTACCTGAAAGGGTTGTTCTGGAGAGAAACTGGAGGACATATGCTTTGAGTTGCTGGAAGAAAATAGGATACACATCAAGCAAATAATAAATTTAGCAAATAGAAGAGTAAGAGAATGAAATAAATGATGGAATGTTCTTTTTACATCTCTGTCCATCCATCGTGGAGTTGGAAAGGGCCATTAGGGGATTGAAAAACCTTTGCTCAGGAATCTAAATTAAAGCATTCTTAATAGATGTATGCCTGGTTTCCATTTGGTCACACTCATCATCTTCCTGGATAATTGGGTCCATTGTCAAACTGTTCTTATCATTTGGTGTTTTTTTCCTATATGTTTGCAGATCTCTCTCTCTCTCTCTCTTCTCTCTTCTCTCTTTCTTCTCTCTCTTCTCTCTATCTCAGCAGTCACCTGCTGAAACATAATCAAGATCTTCTAGAATTAACACAAAGTCTAGTTAGTTGTCCCAGCAGTACAGTGGTCAGACAGATGTCACCGGGAAAGCTCACAAGATGATTCAGTGCACAAAACCATGCCTCTGCTTGTTTGCTCTAGGCTCCAGCAACCTAAGATATACAGTCTCTAATTATAAGATTTGGCATATCAATTAGACTATTTGAATGGATTTGCACAACATGTTTAATTGTTTGTTGGATTGATCTATTGTATGAGTTGGCACAATACTTTTCACAGGCTCATATGCTAACCAAATGGGCTGAATACGCATTACATGCAAAACTACCCCAAAAACTAATCTTATTTAAAGATAATTTCGTCTAGTATGTTGGGCAAATGCAGCTGTTAAACTGTTAATCTTGCTGAATGTGGGAGATTGGTGTCTTATGATTGTAAAATAGCCATACAAGACAGCTGGATATCTTTGTCTAGATTTAGAAATTAAGCAAGATCAGCCTGGTTAATACTTGGGTGGAAGATCAATAGAGAAGCCCAGGGCTATTTTTTAAAAATGCAATAGGAGCTGAGCTTCACTTAAAGGCACTTTGCCTTTTTATCATTGTAAAAAGCTGCGCACGTTTCACATTATTGTGATTGCTTAGGGCATCTGGAATATAACTCTATAACAGGTTCATTACAAAATAAATAATCTGAGCTAAGCGTAGGCTTTTTGACCTTTTTTTGACCACAAGGCCTTAAAGAACTCCTGTTTTTGCTAAGGATCTGAGATGGGGAATGGGATAATTTTGCTTTTTGCTTTTTCTTTAGAGACAGCCATAAATAATGGCTTCATTTAGCTAGGGATTAACAACCCCTCTGAAAGGAAGATGTGACTCAAGGTCAGTGTGTATCAAGAATGGCTCATTCAATGTATCAAAATGCAAAATACCCGTATGTCTGAGGAATTTTTGGAATCAGCAAGAGTTATATTTCACTAAAGTGCAGTGCAACCAAGAGACGTTGATGCATCCCGAAGGACATTTTATATCAACTGGGCATGATTTTAGGCTTGTGTCTCAGAGTCTAAAGTCTAAGTGCCTGGACATCACGAAATAACAGCATGGTATCTGTGCATTTGATCATTTTAATTAATGATACATTCTGGGAGAGAAGAAAAGGCTGGCATGCCGCAGCAGATGGTCGGGTGGAAGAGGGAACTCTGAAAGAAGGGAGGAAAGATTGCATTAAGGAATTCTCAACCACAGATGCTTCTGTAGGTTTTGAGTTTGGTCATTGTGAAACTTTCAGCCATCTGTTCTTTGGGCTAGCAACGGCTTGGGTCTATCGAACTAATATATTCCTGGAATCTGGCATGGGCAAGGGCTGCCCCCCTCCCTAATGTGCGTGACCCTCATCCAGCTGCAGAACAATAGCTGTCTGTATGAAAGTACCTGGCATGGCTGGGGGAGGAGGAGGTTTATGGTCCACAGAATCCATAGAGAGTGTCCCCTTTTGTCTTAGCTACAATCTGTTGGCTTGCCTTTGGAGGCAGCCATTTTGGGTTTAATGACCTCTGACCTCATTTGCCTTCCCTTCACAATGAAGCTCTTGTTGAGCATCGGGTATGGTAATGAGGAAGCGTGTGTGCAAAGGAGATCTGCCAGCTGAGACTGGTGTGGCAGCATCCAGATACAATGGGGGGCCCTTAAACTGAACTGGCCAAGTGGAGATGCTTGTAAAAGAACAGACTTGCCAGAGCTTTGCCATTTGTGCCGATTAGTCATCAAAATTAAGTTGAGGTTGACAGGTGTGTGGCTTGTCCTGCTGTTGATATGAATTTTCAAAATATCACAGGAAGGGTGGGTGTTCTTCGATGAAATACATTTCATAGGAAGATGGCCTGAGCATCATTGTCCAAAAGAGCCCCCAGTTCGTTTCTACTGCTTTTTCCATCCTTCTTCTTTTTCAATTATCCTTAACACTTTTTCTGGAACTTCACACATTTTTTTTTCTTCTTGCAATGTTCTGCTCTGCAATTTGCAGATATCTAAACACCTTTGGGCCTGTTTGAGGCTTTGCATCTCCCATTACAAACCTATCCAGTTGTTAAGATCTACAAAATAATTTATTTTAAAGATCTCCTCATCAGAGCCCTATTCCACAGGGGCTTTGACAGCTGATGTTGCCCAGGGTGAATTAACATCATCATGTTACTTTATTTTCCTGTGATGTGATGTGATGTGATAGGAGGTGATGATTTTAAGAGCTAATTTGTTGTAGTAGTTAATGCACGAGGGTAGAAAACTAGAGACTGTGAGAGCTCCTTAGGCAAGAAACCAGCTGGGTGACCTTGGGCCAGTGACACCCTCTCAGCCCTAGGAAGGATGGCAAACCGCTTCTAAAATCTTGCCAAGAGAACTGCAGGGACTTGTTGTCAGCGGTCAACACTGTTGCCAGGAATCAACACTGACATACAGGCACCAATTTTTTATATGATTTTACTATATTAATTTATGGTTTTAAATTATGTTTAAAATTAAATATGTTTAAAAACTACGGTGAGTCAATTGATTTTAGTGGTATATAAAATGTAACAAATATTTTTGACATGCAGGGAAGGACCTGCTCTTGCATTGCCCCAGGCAATGAATGCACTCCTTTGAGAACTGTATCTGTTCTCCATGTTCTTTCAGTAGAGTATTTCTAAAAGGTATAATCAGGCTCTTTGCTGCATCACTGGAAATTTTTAAGAAGAGACTAGACATTCAACTGTCTGAGACGTTATAGGTTCCCCTGCTTGAACAGGGGGCTGGACTAGAAGACCTCCAAGGTCCCTTCCAGCTCTATTCTATTCTATTCTATTCTATTCTATTCTATTCTATTCTATTCTAGTTGCTCACATGGATTATTTTCCATGCGTTTTCTCAAAGTTCTCTTTAGCAAGATTTATTGAGATGAAAGAGATAGGGGTAAAAGAATTTCAACAAGTGAAGTATTTTTTAATTCAAAACTAATATATCTCCATGTACTCTAGGGTAGAACTTTTTTATTCTCTTTCTTACAGCCTTCCTATGAACCAGGGAAGAGTGGTTTGCAGTTGGTGGTGGTTTATATTAATAGTCTCCAAATTATTTGTCTGAGAACAACTCTTACACTGTGTCTCTGTCACTAGGTTTTAAACTATTCAGTGATTTCAGAATCTATTTAGTATTAATTTGAATATATGTTTTTAGTATTTTACATTCTATTTTTGATTTTGAAAAATAAAGTGCTTGTCAAAGTAGAAAGAGAATTAATAAAATAATTTCTGTTTGCATTGAAGAAAGAAAAAAAGATCAATGAATAGAAGGAGGAGCTATATATAAAGCCAAAGATTAAACCATCTTACAATTTAATGCAAACATTATCCTGTCTGAAACTTGTGTAAAGACTTTATTGTGACTATTCCCAAAACATTACTGCTGAGAAGACTAGCCTGTTAATATCCAAAATGGTCAGAGGTAATGACATAATATAAGGCAGTGTTTCTCAACCTTGGCAGCTTTAAAATGTATAGACTTCAAGTCCCAAAATTCCCCACCCAGCGTGCCCTTAAGATTGCTAGAGTTGAGAAACAGTGATCTAAGGTATGTCTTTCTAATCTCATGCCATCCAGACGGGATGGAATTCAGTTCCCTTATTTCTCCATCCACTGTAGACATAAATCTTGCAACAATTCTCTCATCCATATAAACCTGGGAACAGGGAGAGTTAGGAATATTGGAATCCCAATTCCTTCTCAGCCTTTTGGATAATGAGTAGCAGAAACTACAATACAGAGGTTTTTAAAGGCAGAGGACCTGATCCAGTTTGCACTATTCTTCTGGTAGTGTAGTAGGAATAAAAATGCCTTAGGCAGCAGTCCCCAACCTTTTGGGAACCAGGGACAAGTTCCATGAAAAACTTTGTCCACAGACCGGGGGGGGGGATGTCATGGTTTCACAAGCTGCACATGTGCAGATGAAGCTTCACTCACTTGTATGGATCTGTTCCTAATGGACACCAGACTGGTACCAGTCCACAGACTGGGGGTTGGGGAGTCTGCCTTAGGGCATTAGTACAGTTTCTTGTTTCTTTTGCTTTGTTTTTCCTAGATGCTGCTTTAAAACACTGCAACCTAAATATCCTGTTGAATATATGGGTCTTTTTTTTTGCAGCTGTGGGTATAAACAATGAATTACTTCATAAACAGGTGCAAAGGCAAATGTCCTAGACCACAGGTGTCAAACTTGCGACATCACGTGACGTGTCGTGACATATCGCGACTATTTTTGCATTGCTGGAGCTGGGGTGGGCGCAGCCTACGTATGGTGCAACCGGCCTGCGGGCCGGCAGTTTGACATCCCTGTCCTTAGACGCATTGGGAGATATTTCAGCTACAACTACTTTAATGCCTATTTTCTGATGCCTACTTTAAAAATAAACCAACCGTTGCCATCACTTGTCACATCAGCTGAGCTGTCAGATTCTTACAGCTCAATGTTGTCCATATGGAATGACAGATGTTGAGCCAGAAGAAAAACAAACTCCCAAATCCTTGAAGCAATCATTTGTTCTAGTTCTAGGTTTGTAGGGATTAGTTACAGAGTTCTCTCTTCCTGTTGCAGTTTGGAAGTAGCATGTGTATTTGAAAGCTAGAAATAGATTTGTTTACTTCTCAGTCCTGTCCCTTTGCAAAATGAGATGGGGGTCTAAATCTTGCAGGAAAATCTGAGTAAAAGGGATTTTCTGCTGAGGGTGATGAAGCCTCACCTGCCCAACTGCTTCGGTTCTTTTTTTCAAAGGATCACAGAATGACAATGTGCATTGGTTTCATCCCTTTCTCCCCCTGCCTTTTTAATGTAGAAATGGACCTCTTTTCTGCTATATATATGAATGGGGATAGACATGTAAAAAAAAACCAACCATATCACATTTGCCACTTAATGCTTTTTTGATGGATCTCATGAAGGAGAAGGACTCAGGGTCCTGATAATGCAGAGACCTTGTCTTGGTATTCAACCCTGTCCTTAGATGGCTTGTTTTCTAGGTGGTGACAGGAACACCTGGTTGTCTGATATCTATGGATATTTTCTATTATCCAACTTGTAGCTGTCTGATCTTTTTTGTGTGTGCAGGAAACAAGGGGGGGGGTGTTCCCTAAACATCTGTGAACAGCATTGGTATATTTCTATGCTGTAGATCAGCACACACATATATGTAATCTTTCTTTCTGCTCTTTCCTCTGTTTTTGTTGTGCTATGACTTTCTTCTCTTGCATGCTTTTGTCAAGGGAAGAGATGTAATGTTTGCCTATCCATAGGAAGATGTATTTTTTCCCATGGGACTGTGAAACATTTTAATAAGCTAATTGGAGAGAAAGACTGTCTGTTAGTCAGGCACTTACATTACATATGAAATACTTGCATATTACATCATTCGTTCATTACTGGCACAATGCCATCATTATGTAATCTACAGAAAAGACATAAAGCAGCACAAATTACACAATTTGTGTCATATGCATGTGATGTATTAAGCAAATGATGTAAATTCTCGCCAGAATTGAGCCTGTCAAATGTAGAGTCTGTTCTGCTAAGATCTGCTAAATTAAATTTACCCTGTATTTTAAATCCATCCATGCCGTGTGAAGTTGTATAATCCAGGACTCTGTAATAATCCTTTTTGATTGTTCTATATCCTTTGGGGGAATATCCTTTTACTGCTCATGCTCAGGTTCTGAATAGATTGTATAATCCTGGCCAGGCTACATTGGTTCTACTGTTTGTATATTTGCATTCCCAGGGCTTTGATTGGGGAGGGGCAAGGAAGAAGGGCATTTATTGTGGCATAATGTAATAGCTGTTCTTGAAAATCTAAGAACACAACGGCCCTCCTTCACGGTCACCTCTCCGGGGCAACTTCCAAGCAGGAAGAAACTAGCCATAGGGAGCGGAGGTCCACTCTTGCGCGGCAATGTGCTGCGGGCACAAAACCAGAAGTCTAGCATCCACATGTATTAATCGTGTTCCCCCTATCTGGCAGATTATTTTTTAAACAGGCCCTTCTCCAGCTCTTTCTATTTCAAGTATTTTTATCACTTAAATAACAGCAGCTTGGGAATGGCGAGAGGGGAAGTAACTTAAAGTCTACTTTGCAGATGATCTTAAAAGAAGATGTAATCTTTTGGGTGAGAACCAGAAAGGCTCTGTGTCAAGAGCCTTCATGAAAACTTCAGGGATGAAAGATAGGGTTTTTAAAGGGTCACCAGATTGGCACTAGTGACCCAAGAGATTAATGTGACTGCTTTATTCCTATTTTGGGTGTACACATTTACTGTATTAAAATAAACTCTTTCTTTCTTTCTCAGAATTGGCAATCACAAGACAGTGAAGAATATGAAGCTGAAGGTAAGAGAAGATGGTGCCAGTTTCTTCTGAAATAAATGGAATAGAAAATGGACTGAGAGAAGGATTTGGGAGCAGGGAGAAGAGGGAAATTTTTTATTTATTTTCTACATTTAAAAATTGTTTCATTTCAGAGTTTCAAAATTGCTGTTACAATCCCACTTATTTAATACATTACAATTCTGCCTTTCCTTGTACTTATAATTTTAGAGTGTGTACAATTCATTGCAACAAAGTACAGATGCAATAAGAAAGTAATTTTCTTGGTTCAGACATTGTCAAGTGCTTTTGAACAACATATTAAAGATACTGTCAGGCCCAAAACCAAGAATGACACATGAAAATTCTTTCAAGCTGAGTCCTTTATTGCTTCATATCTATAGACAAAATCTGGTAGACAGAGCACTCCAATATCATATCTGTATCTACAATATACTGTGAACTATTAGGGAGGGGCTGTCTTCACCCTCTCTCTCACACACAAAACATGCAGACTAAGTTGCCTCTTATTCCTCTGGAATGCACCCCCTCCGTCCTGGAAATCCACCTCCTCACTATATTTCATCACAGATACAGTCTGTCTTCAAAGTATCCATATTGAGCAGAAGCCAGACTAGAAGAGGCATATAATTCTGTTCTGCATGTTATTTGGGTGGCCCATAGGAACTAGATTAGGTCTGCAACAAGCAGTATTGGAAGAAGAAGAGTAGAAGAGGAAAACCGAAACAATTTTCAGCAACAAGCAGTTTTAAACTATCTCAACCTGAATTAGAAATGAAATTAAGGCAACATCATATGAAAAAACTTTGCACGAAAGAGCTATTTATGCCACAGTTAGAAGGACGTGAGCTTTATGATAAACATCAAAAATGTTTTCTTTAATCCAGATCTTAATTTATTTTAATTGTTCAAGGAGTCCATTAGACATTATAGTATTGACTCTCTATAATAAACAATATAGGATCTGTAAATTATTTAAAATAAGCAGTAAGGAATAGCAATAGGCTTTATATTAATATAATTATATTTCATCAGGGAGAACATTGATAAGAATTTACACTTTTTGAAAGATTCACTAGCTTTATTTGTGGTTTTTCCTCTGTTTGCTTTTCCAATTGTCTAGTTTTTTTCTCTCCCAAATCAAGTTTTGTTGCTTTCTTTTTAGGCCAGTTGAGGTTCTGGAATCCTGATGACTTGAATACATCTCCAAATATCTTCCCCTCTCAGGATTGGATAGAGGAGAAGTTACATGAGGTTTGCAAGAATCTTGGAATCTCCCGAGATGGTCACTTGAACAGAAAGAAGCTTGTCTCCATTTGTGAGCAGTTTGGTTTGCAGAATATTGATACTCAGGTACCTGAGAGTTAAGCCCTAGGTCAATATAATGGCTGGGAAATACTATTCTTATTTCCTTAACTTTGCAAATTTGAACATAAATATATTCTCATGGCTTGAGGGAAATATTCTGAGGCTTATAGACTGAAGGCAGCCCTCAATCAAGTTTTTATAGCTCTCCAACACTTTGCTGAAATTTAGTAACAAATCACCAATGGCATGGTTTCCACTAATTTTTGCAGAACATGAAATAAAACAAGTCTATTAAGCCTCCAATAGGCTCAATACAAAGTCCCCGTAGGGAATAATGAAATGACCATTTCCCCCCACAACTCTTCAGGAACATCAAAATCTCCCCACCCCATGCCCTGCATCCTTCAGTTGACAAAATAATGTTAACATCATGATTTTGTTACCCCTGGAAGTAAAACAAAGACAAACAGTATCTCTCCTGTCTATTTCATAATTTTACAAGGCTACAGGTGCATTTTGATCTGATCTAAGAGGTTTTTCACTATGCTTCTTTTCCTTTATGTGATCTACTTTTCTAAAACTACAGGAATTCTAAAAATCCCATCTTTATATTACTTTGGCATGAGGTTTTTTTTTTTTAAGCTAGTCCTTCTTTAGAGTAGGAAGGTTTCCACAAAACAGAGAAAAAGCTGCAGAGACTAATGTATGGTTGTCCTATGCATTTGTGGAAACTTTTATTAAAATTGAGTCCTCATGAAAACAGAGATACAGAGCCATTCCTTAAATAATGCATGATCCAGGTCTACCTGTGTAACATTAACTCTATTCTCAGTTAGATGTTCAGCATTTAGAAGAAGTTTAAGACTGAGTTCAGTAACCTCTAAAAACAGAAAAAGACTTTGGGGTTCAACTTAATTCCCAATTACTTCATGGATGCATGTGTACTGTTTCCTTGGCAACAGTATGGGTTTGTCGTTGCCTTCTGGGATGCTTTGGGGCTCCCCAGTCTACCCTACAGCCCCAGGGTTCTCAGAGAATTGTCCATCTATAGTAACCATTAACCAAGATCGACCTTTCCTAAGCCCAGATGAGGTTAGTCAGATGCTGCCACCTGCTGTTTCCTAGTCTTTTTTTTCCCTGGGTTTCAGACTTAAGTTAAAGTTGGCATCCTTCATTCTTGAGAGACTACGGTATTGTGCTCTGGAAAGAAGTCCTAAGGCAACATCTGGTGTGGCTAAAAAGGCCAATTCAAGAATGGCAGTCCCTTCCACACTGAGGGCAGATACAATCTGTCCCCTGTCCAGCCCCCAGATTTCGCTGGTTTCGGGATTGCCTCTTTGCCTCAGCCTGCCGCACAAGTGTCTCTTCGAATTGGAGAAGGCCCTGCTGCGTCTTTAGCCTCCAGGCTGAACGATCAGAAGTCAAGAATTCCCAGCTGTTAATGTCCATTCCCAAGGCCTTTAGGTCTCTCTTGCAGATATACTTATATTGCAGCTCAGGTCTCCCTCTGGGGCGCTTTCCCTGCACTAGTTCTCCATACAGGAGATCTTTCGGAATCCGACCGTCAGCCATTCTCATGACATGCCCAAGCCAGCATAGATGTCATAGTGTATACATACTAGAGATTCCAGCACATTCCAGGACTGCGCTATTTGGGACTTTGTCATGCCAGGTGATGCCGAGAATACGTCGGAGACAGCGCACATGAAAGGTGTTCAGCTTTCTCTCCTGCCGTACCAAGACTCACTGCAGTACAAGAGTGTGCTCAAGACGCAGGCTCTATAGACCTGAATCTGTCAACTTCTTATTAAGCCATACTCCCTTTGTAAGTCTGGAAAATGTGGTTTCAGACTGCATCAGTGAATTTCAGTCACTCTGAATTTTCTGAATTACACTAGGATGTTTTCCCCTATGAGGCCCTGCACATTTTCACTAATTTGAAACATTTGCTTCCCCTCAGATCCTGGAGGAAGTATTTCGCAACCTTGACCACAACAATGGCACAATGAGCATAGAAGACTTTTTCTATGGGCTCTTTAAAATTGGGAAGCCTCTCCCACCTTCTGCCTCCACTCCATACAGACAATTGAAACGGCATCTTTCTATGCAGGTAGGTGCTCTCAGTGTGCTTTCTCCATGCATGTCACTAAAATATTCTGCTCTGATTTCCAACCACATTTAATTCAATCTATGTCACGTTTTCTTGAGTTTTGTTTCAAAAATAGCACTTTTAGCACAACTGTTAAAGACAGTGAGGAAAATATCCTTATCAGATACTTGTATTATCTCGTTGCTTTTTGGCACCATGTTTTTTTCTCTTGACTGAGCTTTCCTATCCCCAATTTTTCTTTTTTATTTGTCCCGGGAGTTTATTGGATATTTATGGATGCTCTGTTTAATGGACTGCAGTTGGCCTAATCTCTATATGCCATCTTCATCAACAAAATTGTAAAGCTCATCTGGAAAATGAAAATTGAAACTTCTGTTTGGCCTTTATAAAGCAAAGTAGCTCAATCTTAAATATTATCCCGAGGCCTTGCTGCACACAAATATCATAGAATCATAGAATTATAGAGTTGTAAAGAGCCACAAGGATCATCTAGTTCACTATTTTTCAAATTTGGCAACTTTTAAATGTGTGGACTTCAACTGCTGGCTGTAGATTTCTGGGAGTTGAAGTCCACATGTCTTATAGTTGCTGAGTTTGAAAAACACTGATCTAGTCCAGCTGTCTGCAATGTACAGGAAAACCAATTAAACTGTCCATGACGGTAGAAAGCCTCAAGAGACGGAAAATCTAGATATGTTCAGGGATTGCTCATTTGGATTTATTCTGAGAGACCAAATCATATCTATAGCTTAAGTCTTACTGAGAGGTGAGGCCTTTGGGCTATAGTCCAGGGGTAGGCAACCTTGGCTCTTTTATGCTGGCTCAGGAATTCTGGGAGTTGAAGTCCACGAGTCATAAAAGAGCCAAGGTTGCCTACCCGTGGGCTATACCATTACAAATATGGAGGGTGGGGATGCTCATATGAAAAAACTTGCCTTTTTCTAGAAATCAAGCCCATCAAGAAGAAAGGTTCTAAATTAATGTCCTGACATGATTGTTTTTTTCCCCCAGAGGGCACAATTTACAGGCTAAAGAGGGTGGGGATGCTCAAATGAAAACACTTGACTTCTTCTGGAAATCAAACCCATCAAGAAGAAAAGTTCAGCAAATTTTCTCTCTCTCTTTTTCTCCCCCTCCCCACCCAGGCCTTTGATGAAAGTGGGAGACGAACCACCCCTCCCTCAGCAATGACAAGTACAATCAGCTTCCGTGTCTTTTCCAGCCTGGATGATGGGATGGGCTACGCTGCAGTGGAACAAATTCTTGATGCTTGGCAAGAACAAGGCATAGAGAATAGTCAGGAGATCCTGAATGTAATGTATTCCATAGTTACCCAGTTACTAATGCAGTTTTAGAAATATATCTGAACCGCAGATTGAAAGTAATGTTCAGAATCCACAAAGGATTTAAATGGGATGCCACACATTTCAAACTGGGGGTGGTGCTTAGAGCGCTTTGTCAGAAAGCTTTCATCTTCCCCAACAATTACACCCCCCAGGGCTTCTGATGTGGTGCAGTTAAAATGTGGATTATTCAGGCCTTTGTGAGCAAGGGGAATTCCCTATTGCAGTCTTAAGTTGCTCATTTCCTATGCAACTCCCAGCTGTTTCTGAACCTCTTTTAAACATTTCGGCCCAGCATGCAGTTGGATTGATATTCAGTCAGGGCTATGAGCACCATAGGATTTGACTGGTTTTTCTCTTGCTTCTTGTTCCTCCCACCTGTGCAAGGAAGGCAATCCTCATTGGCTAGCCCCTGTGCCTGCTTTTTCTTTTTAGAGCAGTGTTCCTCAACCTCAGCTACTAAGATGTGTGGACTTCAAGTCCAGAATTCTTCAGCCAGCATGCTGTCTAGGGGATTCTGGGAGTTAGTCCACACATCTTAAAGTGGCTGAGGTTGAGAAGCACTGTTTAGAGATTATTCCTCCCCCATTAGTCTCCATGCCTTTGCTTTTGTAGGAGACAGCTTTCACAGATGTTTGTACATGGATGGCTTTCCTTGCCCTTGGCATAAACAAAGGTTCTTCTGTTTTCTTTTTTTCCCCATATTGTACCATCAGTTCTCTGAGACTTCAGTGATCAAAGCAAAGGGAACAGATTGTCTTTTCATTCCTACATGCAACTATAGGCCCAAATAAGTTTTATGGCAAGGAAGAACCGACGATTCAGCATCATAGAAGCAAAACCAACATTTTTTAAACATTATAGCTTTATTCCAACATGTGCATTTAGATTTAAGAAAAAAGACAAATACTCTGAATAGGGGTGGGAAAACAAAAATAAAAGGTTTTGACCTGGGCAGCAACTTAAGAGAAGTAAGGTTAGCATGGAGCAATGACTTTCTAGAGCAGGGGTGTCAAACTCGCAACGTCATGTGACGTGTCGCGACATATCGTGACTTTTTCCCCATTGCCGGAGCTGGGGTGGGCACAGTTTTGGCATGACGCATCCAACCCGCAGGCTGGAAGTTTAACACCCCTGTTCTAGAGCAATGTTTTTCAAACCTGATAACTTTAAAATGTGTGGACTTCAATACCCAGAAGTCTGGAGTGGAGGTCCACACATCTTAAAGTTGCCAAGTTTGAAAAACATTTGTTTAGAAGGTGGGAAACAACAGGAGAACTTAATGAACCATCACTGGATCAACTGCAAAATAATTTTTAAAAGGCAACTCCTGACCAGCAGAGAGGATTGGAGCCAGGGCAAAATGGCAGAATAGGGCAGCAATCAGCTGCTGGAGTGGAGGGGGTGTGCCAAGTACTATAGAAAATCAGAGTTATTATTATATTGGAATGAAGCGCTAAAGACCATCTGCTTGGAAGGGTTTAAGATGGCTTACATAGTACTTTTAAAGTAGATTCAAAATGCATGTGATGGGGAGTGGTGCCTTTGTCCAAGAGTAAAGCAGTGAGTGGTATTTCTGCAATGGGGCAAGCAGAAAATATGGATCTTCCTCAATTGTCCATCTCCAGTCAGAGGTAAATGTACCATTTTCAAGAGCAACCATTATATTCCTATAGTACTGTGATGGCACAACGTCACAGATGGAAGCTGTGCCTAGAATCCACTTAAGTATATATTTGGCTGCTGAACTCTGCTGGTTGGTGCAAAGGGAACATCTGGTCTGCATTTGATGTCCATGAAATCAAATTACCATTTTTCATAAGATCTATCCATTTGGTATCCACCCCAAAATTTTATCAAATTTTGTCATGCAAAGAATCGTTCTATTGGAACTGCTGAGATATGTAGGTTCCACTGAGGTCCTGAGCAAGACCCATCTTATTATTTGTAGTCTATAGTTCCACTCATATCTTCCTAAATATATTCCACATCAGAAATCAACAACTCTTGTAAGAATAATGGCATCCTGCAGCTTATCCTTTACTATCATCTTGTCTTCGTATAAAACAGAAGAGACAAAAGGAAAGTGAAGTCATTTTTAAAGGCATAATAGGCTGAAACACTTTTTCTCTGGCATATGGGGGTTTTATTTTGCTTTGGGGGGGGCTGCGTGCAAAGGAGAATTAGAAAGAAAGGAAATAACTTTTTATCATCTGATTCTTCTCCAGGGATAGATGGGGGGAGAAAGTTGAGCCAAATCTCATACTCAGGTAGAAGGAAATGAGAAAAATCAAAACTGACGTGTGGGATCCTTGGCGCTCTCTAAGCTTGGTGGTTTCCTTGCAGATGTTTCCTTATTAAACTAGGTAACATCATCAGACTGTATGATAATGAAATGTCTGCAAGAAAACCACCAAGCTCAGAGAGCACCAAGGATCCCACAGTTCAACCCTGAGCTACAAAAATTCTCTTCTATCAAAACTGACATGTTTGTCCATCTGAACTTTCTTGCAGGCCTTAGATTTCAGTTTGGATGGAAAAATTAACCTGGCTGAACTGACTTTTGCCCTGGAAAATGAGCTTCTCATAGCCAAGAATGGGATATACCAAGCAGCACTGGCTGCTTTCAAAATGGAGATTCGGCATTTGATGTGAGTATCTAACATAAATATGTATATGATGAGATGGAGATAGTAAATCAGCTTTAACAAAAACCTGAAATGTAGGGTGGTGGGGATTCCCCAAGGAGGACTTCACTTTGACCAAGCTTCAAAGCATTCTTCTAGTGCTAGATCAGAGTTGCCTTGCTGCTTTCGTCTAAATGCTAAGCACAGAGGCCCATATCCAGCTGGATGAAGTCTTTAGCTGGAGGGAATCTTTCTGCTTTGATTCAAGGCATCGCAATAGCATTTAGGCTTATATATTCCCTCCTAGCGCTTTACAGCACTCTCTGGGAGCTTTACAATGAAGATGCATTATTTGCATATTGCCCCCAATGATCTGGGTCCTCATTTTTCTGACCTTGGAAAGATGGAAGGCTGAGTCAACTATGAACACCATCAGGATCTAACTCCAGGCTGTGGGCAGAGTTTGCCTGCAATACTGCACTGAAGCACTACGCAACCTTGATTTGTTTGGCATTGCAACAAAGCAACTGATGAAAGGCGTAGGAAACTCTGCATAAACCAAGGCTGACCACATCAGTGAAATCCAGAATTGTGCTTCATTGCCTTAAATGATTGGGACAAGAGAGAATTAGCAGACTATAGCCCCGGAGCTTCATGTTTTCCACTTTCTTGACACTCATAGATATATATCGGCTCAGGTAGCAGTTTCTCATCCTTATAAAAGCTCTGACCTGGGCTAGCCCGCTGGCTGCAGCATTTCGTTCAGGATCAGAGAGAGTTTTTGGCAGGGGAAGGGAGCTCTTTTAAATAGTAAACCCATTTGTAGCAGAACCAAGATCTTCTTAATTTGTTGCTTAGCCATTTCTGAGCCATTCTGTTACCCCAGCAAATAGGGATATGTAGACTCATGCATACTCTGTCATTTCTCCCATCTCTGTCACTGCCACCCTACTTTGACTCCTGTCAATCCGTAGAGCTTGCTTTCTAGCATAAAATCACAGCCTGAAATATTTCACTATTTGCCTAATAGTGAGTTATAAACTTCAATGAGATATTTGTGCATCCAGGTAGACATATTCACGGATATGCTTGGAAATAGTCAAACTGTTACATTCTCTGTGTTGCTGGGAAGCTCAGCAAGCATTATCTGACAACCGAGGCTTATTTTTTTAGAGAACGCGCTGATCTAGTTCTAAGGGAAAAGGACAAACTACTTCTGGATTTGGAGAAAGTGGAGAAAAGAGCATCCCTAATGGCCACCGAAGTGGATGATCATCATGCTGCCATTGAACGCCAAAATGAATACAATCTAAGGTATGCTGCCTTTACTTCAGGATTCACAATCTCTCTTCATGGCAACACTGTGACTTAAGTGGCACCTAGGTCTCTTGAAATAACAACTGACAAGGCTAGCCATAGGTTCAAGTCAGCCATGTGTGTTAGAGACAGGCTGGGAAGTAGGTCTGTGAAGATATCTCAAATTAGTTTCTTGACAAATTTCAGAATATCAGTAGGGAGGATAGACTAAGAACTGCAGGATGAGGCATCTTGAGGAGATTTGTAACACCCTCGAAGGAGGGTAGGAAGACCATTTGCTGCATACAACCCCCAAATCCATTTTTACCATTTTCTATACCCCAAGGATCAAAATTAAATTGATTATTAGTGATGTAATTTTTCATATAAAAACATCTTAGAATATATGTATGAAGCCTTCAAGTGACTTCCTTTCACTCCCATATTCAATAACAAAGATGAAAACAATAAATGATTATAATAAATGGCAATACATAACCATCTTACAACTGAAGAACAATAAAAACATCCAATTAAAACAGATACTAAAAAGATCAACCTTACAGTTTACTAGCCTTCTAAAAGCATCACGTTTTAATGGCTTTCCAAAATCCCAACTGAATTGGGACTAGGCAAATCTCAAGAGAAACACTGCTGCAAAGAAGTGGGCAGAAACTGAGAAATATGACAATCTGGATCCATGAAAGAGGAATTATTAAGAATCTGACCTGGCTCACAATTGCTAAGCTGTTTTTCATTCTCAAAACCACCTGTGTTGGATACAGCTCAGATATTCTTGTGCTGATGACTGTGCTGATAAGTGTGAATAGGATCTAGCTTACTGTTTTTGTGATGATACAGATCTTTGCAAAACATTTGGTCAAGAATATCCATCCTGAAGTCAATTACAGACTACAGGTAGTCCTCAACTTACAACAGTTCATTTAGTGACCGTTTGAAGTTACAACGGCACTGAAAAAAGTGACTTGCAACTTTTCATACTTATGACCTTTCCAGAATCCCCTTGGTCATATGATCAAAAATTCAGACGCTTGACAACTGATTCATATTTATGATGGTGTCCCGGGGTTGTGTGATTTCCTTTTGCAACCTTCTGACAACCTTCTGGGGACGCCGGATTCACATAACAACCATGTTACTCACTTAAGACCTGCAGTGATTCAGTTAACAAATGTGGCAAGAAAGGTCGTAAAATTGGGTAAAATTCACTTAACAAATGTCTCACTTAGCAAGAGAAATTTTAGGCTCAATTGTGGTCATAAGTCGAGGAGTACCTGTATAAAATTCTCAATTCATCCAAATTTCCACATGCTGTCTTGGTGTGATCCAGGATTCTGTAGTAATTTCAAACATTTAGAAATTCAGATGTATCATTTCTCTTGGGAATGAGAACTTTGCTTTTAAACCCTTACAAGTGAGGATGTCTTGGGATTATTTTATGAGACCATTTACATCAGTGTTTCTCAACCTTGACAATTTTAAGGCATGTGGACTTCAACTCCCAGAATTCCACAGCCAGCAATGCTGGCTGTGAAATTCTGGGAGTTGAAGTCCATATGCCTTAAAATTGTCAAGGCTGAGAAACACTGATTTACATTATCAAGAAGATCCCGATGGGAATGACCATTTTACTGATAAATACCACTGAATCTATGAGATTTTGTTAGGTTGCTGCCACCCACTGATTTCCAATACTCAACCCCTGGTTTTTCTTAATCTGTGTGTATAGCAAGCTGGATGAGGAGTACAAAGATCGTGTTGCAGCTCTCAAAACAGAGTTTCAGAAAGATTGTGAGCGGATACAGCAGCAGGCCACCAAGCAACAAGCAGAACTGGAGCAGGAGGTAGAGAAGATGAAAACCGAAGAGAATTATCTCCAGGACCGCCTTGCTCTGACCTTGAAGGTAACAGCTACCTTAAAGCAGGAGGGCACAACTTATTTCATACCACAGACCATGTTTGGCTTTTGAATGCTTGTAGGGAGCTTTATGGCATTCCCATGTAAACATGGTCTGGCTAAAGACCATGACAAAAATTAAAATTAAAACAATCTAAATACAATTCTTATTACTTCATGTGTATTAAATAACTTTTTCACACTTATATTTATTTGATAGATGCATTTATTTAGAGGCTGTACATGCATCTCAGGGCTTAAAAGAAGCAACCCAATTCCTTAAAAAAGATACCAGTGTATATGAATGCGTGTCTCCCCGTGTGGACGGCTTTTATTACATGCACATAATTTGTAATGTGCAAATCAATGGACTGACATTTGGACTGATGTATTTTATTAAAAAGCTTGATGTAAGCTTTTTAAATTATGCAAAAAATAATTCTTCTGGGGGTTGAAGGAAAGGAAGTGGGATCGGAAAGATGAAGACCTTCTTCTAACATGATATTCCATGCGGCACGTGTAGATTCATTTGAATGCATAAACTGAAAGTTAATTTTAAGGCAGTTAATTAGGTTTTAGAACAAGGCAAGGGGTTTCTCCTTTAAATATTATAATGATCCTCCAGAGACCAAGCAAGAAATGAAGACATACAGTACATTCCCTTAGATTTTTAAAATAGTCTCCTCTGGATCTGAATAGCAGCCTTTTAAATATTGCCTTCTTTGATCTAATGTCACTCAACCTAGTGCCCTTTTTATTTGTTAGAACTATAATTACCAGCATTTTCAGTAAGGCTGCATGAAAAATCCAGACTTTGTTAATAATATCAGGGTGAAGAAAACTGAAACTAGGAAAAACACAGTCACTTTATGTATTGTTTGGGAACCAAACTAGATATTTTTGAGACCCTCTCAATTTCTTTTTAGGAAAATAGTCGCTTAGAGCATGAGCTCCTGGAAACTGGAGAGAAATTGGTGAAGTATGAAAGCATGATGAGCAAACTGCAGAATAATTGGGAAAATGTCTTAGTAGACAAGGTAAGATGCTGTTGGTGATTAATTCAGCAAAATCCCAGAATATATTACAAATGTCATTTGACTTTATGAAGATGTTAATAAGGACTTTGGGTCCAGATTAATCTGGCACAAACAAAGCCAAAGGAAATGATGCAGAGATTTTGAAAGTTAGTAAGACTGATACAATAAAAGTCCACTCAGCCATCCAAAATTCTGCAAAGATGTTTGGAACTATATTTTGCAGTTCAATCATTTCAAATAACTAGTTCAACCCCTTTAGCAAGTGATTGCAGGAATAAGGACTGTATTACTACCATCACCCTAATTATGGAGTGGTCATCCTAGAGAGGCACTTTTTCTGGTGTTCTTCAAGTTTTGATTTTCAGGAGCTTCATCATGTATTGTTTGTAATCAGGTGGAGGGTAGTATTTTGAATCCACAAATCACCATGTAAACATTATCATACTGCAGCCTATAAATACATCATACTGTGGGGTACAATGGGTGAGTTGTAGATGTTTTCAGTTTTGTTTGCCATTTTATTGCTTAATATGATTTAAAGGATAATGTAAGAGGTAGTCCTAGCTTAATGACCACTCATTCAGCAACCATTTGAACTTACCAGTGCTGAAGCAGTGGTACTTATAACCATCCTCATACCTATGACGGTTGCAGTATCCCTATGGTCACATGACTGCAATCCGGGTGCTTGGCAACCAGCTTGCAGTTATGATGTTGCAGCATTCCATAGTCATGTGATCATTTGCAACCTTCAGTGCTGGCTTCTGACAAGCCGAGTCAATGGGGAAGCCAGCAGGAGGTTGCAAAAGGTGACCATCACGGTTAACAATGTTGTGGGATTCATTGAATGATGGCAAATGGAAGTACCACAACTGCTGTCACCAAGTGGTGCAGTCACGTGACATCGTGCTTTATGATTGTGTCACTTAGCAATGGAAATTCTAGTCCCAATTACTTACTTACTTAATGCTGTTAAGTGAGGACTATATGTATTATTTATTGGGGTTGTCTTTAATATGCCACCCAGAATCACGAGTTTGAGTTGGAGACAGCCATATAAATCAGGGGTAGTCAACCTTGGCTCTTTTATGACTCGTGGACTTCAACTCCCAGAATTCCTGAGCCAGCACAGCTGGCTCAGGAATTCTGGGAGTTGAAGTCCACGAGTCATAAAAGAGCCAAGGTTGACTACCCCTGATATAAATGCATAACCAATTAAATACTACATATATCTATATGCGTAAGATAGCCTGGTAGCAGCACTTGCCTGGCATACCTCCAGATTTGATCTCTGACATATTATCTAAAGCAGTATTCCTTAGCTGGGTGTCCTCCTTTTATTCAGTGCACCAGATTTCCTTTCAAATCCAATAATAAAGCTTCATTCCCTGGACCATCATCTAACTGCTGTACCAGTGAGGAAAACAGGCTGTCTAAAGGTGGGGAAAAGATGACCATGTGTCCTTTGGTTCTAGTTTGGAGACCTAGATCCTGGCAGTGCAGAGTTCTTCCTTCAGGAGGAGCGGCTGAGTCAGATGAAGAAGAAATACGAACAGCAGTGCAGGGTAAGAATAAAATTAAGGTTTTTCCAAGGCCTATGCCTAGAGACTCCAGCNCTGGGGGCAGCTCGTTCCAGAGGGTGGGAGCTCCAACAGAGAAGGCTCTCCCCCTGGGGGTCGCCAACCGGCACTGTCTGGTTGACGGCACCCTGAGGAGACCCTCTCTGTGGGAGCGTATCGGCCGGTGAGAGGTGATCTGTGGCAGAAGGCGGTCTCGGAGGTAGCCAGGTCCGATGCCATGGTGCGCTTTAAAGATAATAATCAGCACCTTGAAGCTGATCTACTTCCCAAATGGCAACACCTAGCCAACCTTGCTTGAGCCCTCAAAAACTAAGGAGTCAGACCTAGTTAGGATGTTAATGGCTGCCTCCCATGAATGCCCAGGGTTTTAGGATATAGAGAAATGGAAGAAACAGCCTAAAAGAAGGCATTGAAGAACTGTTTCCATACTGTTACCGGGAAAACTGTATGGATAAGGACCAAGAATCAAGAGAGACAGTTTGATTCAATCTTTAGACCCGTCAAATAATGTCATAGAACTTGGTTTCTTTTCATTTTTAATTTGTCCCTTCTCACAAAAGTCTTCAAAACTTTAGCAAACCTCTTTCGTAAGTCCAATCTAGGAAAGCTATCCAAGTTACTCTCTTAGTTTGTTTTTGTATATCCCATTTAATTATGAAGACATATGATTTTGTAAATTCAAAACAAAAGCATTTTCCCACATGAAGGATTCTATATAATTAATTCAAAAACCTTATTTCAAATTTATATGGATCTTTAGTCCATTTGTAACCTTGTAAAAAGTTTTAATCATCTTTTTGCTGTTTATTTGAACTTTTCTAAAATTTAAAATTTCTTTCTCTGGGGGTTGTTGAAAACTCACCCAATGCTGTAAAACTGTTGATCCAAAGATTCCTAATAACTGAAAAACAGTTAACAAGCAATTTCCAAAAGTGATTAGAAAAAGAAGTATGGAAACTTAGTGTCCTTTCAAAGGCACCATCCCCAGTTTGAGCAAGATAACAATTCCCTCATCTCTTACTGCTCTAAATTTTATGGAAATTAATATCTTGCAGTCTCCTTGTGAGGAGCCAGCTGTCTTACAGCTGGACTATCTAAGGAACTTCCTCTCCTGTTAGAAACCTGCCTTTGCTATCAGAATCTCATTTTTCTAGCATATAAGAATCCTTCCTCTGTGTTGCTCCCAGCCTATAAACTATCCTCTGAAAAGAGTTGCATTTGGCCTCTCCTCTTATCATTTAAGCAATACATAAAAGATCTCTCGCGCACTTTCACAGTTGTATTTTAATATATACTTAGATTTTACCTTTCGTAAAAAGGTGAGATATAAAGAAATACATAAATACCTCTGAAGTCATTGGCTATCCAAGAACAGAAGATTCTTCATCCTGACCTGAAATTTACCCATGAGTTTTTCCAAACCTGCTCATTTTATGTTGAGCTCAGCTGAAGAGATGGCTCTGATGCTTAGTCCCCAAATTGCTCTGTTTCAAAAGAAGCCAGGGTTCAGTTCTTGCCTAGCATGCAAATATATGCACATTTGCAGCTGTTCAGTCCTCCCAGGCCATAAAAATATTGCTGTTCCAGTTGATTGTTTGGCTGGGTTCATCGTGATGAGATTGCATCTTGTTTTCAGGAACTTCAAGATCACATAGATGAACTTCAATCTCAACTGGAAGAGTATCAGATACAAGGCAGAATTATCCGACCTTCACTGCAAAACACTCTGTATGAGGAGCTCAATGATTGTGGAGTGCAAAGTAGTCAAGGTACAATATGTCCTACCTACTGTGTATTATGAGGAAGTTATTTTTGGACAATCAAGCTGTCTTTCCAGTTTTTATGTAGCCCATATTGCAAGAGTGTACCAACACTTCAGGGAAAAGCTAAAGCAAGTGAGCAAATCTTTCAAAGTGTGAGTCTGAGGAGGTCAGGGTAGTATATGGAAAAGAAGTTGGATCTAAGGATTAAACAGATTAAGCTAACAAGACTGCCAAGTGTCCTGACTGGTGCTGCTGAGGGCAGCTTTCTAATACCTTAAAATATTTTAATATTTATGCTAATGTATTCCATCATTGACTAGCTGTCCAAAAGAGCTTCATTTCTTTTTTTGCTATCCTGTATTCTAGAGCCTGCTTCTGAGGACTGCAGCCATCTAAACATGAGCATAGAAGCCGAAATAATTATTGAACAACTAAAGGATCAGCTTCACCAGGATGTCTACAACTTGCAGCAGGAGCTTGAAAACACAGTAAGTTTTCCCCACTTTAGCATGAAGCCAGAAGTGCTTGCATCAGAGATTGTTATTACACTTGCCCAGGACATGTTTTTATTTAATTAAAATCTGTTGTTGTTATAATCTTTAGTTTTTTTCTGGAACTTAAGTTTGTTGGCTTTCTGGAGCTTCTGGGTGATTAGTGGTGAGCTATGAAGTATCCAAATGAACAGAAAAACCAACTGCAGCTAAGACTGGACCAGTGACTAGACTGGTCCACATAACATCTCCAGATAAGGAGAGAATGGAAGATCATTTACTTATGCTCTGGATAGCTGCTCCTTGTAAGAAGACTACAAGACAGCACCAGAACACAAAGGAAATCATCATCATCATGCTGTCAACTGCAGCAGAAACTACTAAAGGACACTGAATTTACTAACCCACTTTCTAATTACTTTCTGAAATTGCCTATTCAATTAACTTAAGGACATTAGACGTTTTCAAAATAACAAGTTTCATTTTTTGAATAAAACAAAAAACAATCAGCTTAAGAGCTTAACAAATTAGAATTATTTGCAAACAGCTAAATTCAAAACTAATTTAAGAAAGTTATAAATAAATTAAGGGAACAGACAAATTTGGAATAATGGAAAATTAATACTTTTGGTAAAAGTGTTTGGAAATAAGTGTAGAAATGAACAGCACATTTGTGGGAACCAAGCTGTTTAGTTTATCTTGAGTCAAAACAGCAACTTGAGACTATTATTTTAAAAATCAAACACTAGAGGGGACTAAAGATTCCAGGCAGAAAGAGAAAAGGGGGAAAAATGAAAAGTGTCTTTGATCAGCCCTAGAATTTGCAAAATGGCAGAAAATGCTTTGATATTTGAAATGCTTCAGTAGATTGTTGAAGAATGGGGTCAAAAAATAGAAGCTTCAGTCTCAGCAATGATGCATGCATTCATGAATAGATTATGTCTTAAAGATATTAAAGAAGTTCTGATATGAAAGAGAACATTGTGGAAGATTTGCAAGATAAAGAGATGAAAGAAAGTTTGCCTGATGTAGAATATCAGAATATTAAAAAAAATGCAGAAGTACTGAAAAATAAAAAATGGACTAGGAAACAACTAAAGTGGAAGTACAAATGACAAACCAATAAATTGACCTAGATAATGATCTTTTACTGAATTTACCAAAGAAGTTGGTTAAAGTCTGAAAGAAATTTTCAAAATGGGAAAAATAAAAATGGAAGAGAGATCGAATTCTACAATAGCATCTGAATGAACTAAAGATTAAGATTGTTAAAAGCAGAAGTTAGAACAAAGATAGATTGTTTGACCAAGGTTAAAATAAGACATATTTGTGTAAATCTGGCATTCTTTATGGACTTTTTGTTAACACTGGGAATGTAATGATTTATGGTTTTGTATGTGGGTTATGAGGCAAAGTAATGTAATGATATGGGGCGAGAAATTATTAAGTTTGTACTTGTAATGAAAATCAAAAGCTTCAGAGAACTGATGATGGTTTCATGGATCACCAGATAAGGCTGTCCTTTGCAGACCTCTAAATTAAACTTGGGAGTCCCACCAGCAGAGAACCTATTATTGAAGACAAGCTGTTCATAAAGTAGTTCCTGAGAGGCAAAAGCATAGAGTACTTATTTCCTCCCCTCTCAAGATCTTTGTTCCTGATGGACACAATAAACAGAGAAGGAAACTCTGTATAGAACATTTACAAAGGCTTGTTGAATGAAAGTTTGAATACAGTTATCTCCTTAATAGATTTTCCAGTTCAAGCACAACTGATTAGAGATACACAGCAATCGGTATGATTTTCCCAACTGAAATAAGAGAAGTTACCTAAATTACAAATCAAATAGTTACAAACAGTTGTCATGTCGCTTGATTCTAGAAAGACAAAATGCACCAAGCAAAATAGTAGGTTATAGAATGGAAATGCTTTGCCCAGTACATGCAGCCACTGCATCCTTCTTACATAACTCCTTTTTGTCTCCTATTTTATACCTAAATGCTTTGGGCTCTGACAAACTAGTTTTCATAAGCCTTATCATGATTGTGGAAGTTCTTGTCAGTTTCTTGTCTGACTCTTTTGTCCATCAGTTATACTTTGATCTTCTCCTGACACTTGGCACATCATTGTTTTAGCATCCTGTTATATTTCTATGCACCTATGCATTCAGATGGACTGCATGAGTAAGACTATGTATTCATCATAATAATTCCTTATCCATCATGATCACTAGCAGAGGTCAATGCTGGGCAAACCTATAAAGAGGTTTCATTCTGTTCATGCCAAGGATTGTCTCTGATTCCCTTGGTTTCTGTATGTCCAGGTACTCTTCCAACAGTAGCTGGTCTAAGAATTGGTCTATGTAGGCTGCTGCTACTGCTGAAAATATAAGTGAGCCTGTCACATAAATTATGCTGGCTGGACATATTGAGAACTATATTCCTACACATCTGCCTTTTTCCAGAATGCTAATGGGACCTCTTTTTAACAGATTAAAAAGGGTTATCAATGGTGGAGTTTGCATTCATTTTCAGTTATATCTGCTATTGAACCAAACTGTCTGCAACGCTTCTATTGAGTTATGCGGAAATGCTCATCATAATCTTCCCCTTCACTTAGGTATGCCATTATGAAAAGCAGCTTGAGGAGACCAAAGCCAACTATGAGGAGGGACAAGAGAACGTCCAGCAGGAGTACTGTCAGGAGAGACAAGTGTTAGAAGAACAAATTGAGTGTCTGCAAGTCCAGATTTCTGAGCTTCAGGGACAGGTGGCAAGCCTGAGGCAGGCCAGCTCCCAGCAGAGTGTGGAAGGGAACAGTCTCCAGATATGCCTGGATGAGAAGGCTAGCCTTATAGAATGCCTGAGGATCGATCATGAGAGGGAGCTCCAAGCCAGACTGAAAGAGGCAGAAGAAAACTTTAGTCATGAGAAGGAAGAGTTGATTCAGTCTAAATCCTGGTTGGAAGAAAGAATGAGAACTTTAGCACAGGCCATCCAAGAAGAAAAAATGGAGCTAGAAAATGGGTTCCANTGAGGAAAACAGGCTGTCTAAAGGTGGGGAAAAGATGACCATGTGTCCTTTGGTTCTAGTTTGGAGACCTAGATCCTGGCAGTGCAGAGTTCTTCCTTCAGGAGGAGCGGCTGAGTCAGATGAAGAAGAAATACGAACAGCAGTGCAGGGTAAGAATAAAATTAAGGTTTTTCCAAGGCCTATGCCTAGAGACTCCAGCGAATCACTTTTCTTTTTTTTCCTTTTTTTTCTTTTTTAATTTTTATTGATTTTTCAATTAAAAACAATAACATACTACATTTAATCACAATATCAACCAAGAAAATAACACTACTCAATACATTCACGGAAGTGTCCGGTGTCCCCCCCCTGCACCCCCCTCTTTCACTTTCCACGCCTTCCTCCCTCCCCCGAACCTACAACCTCTCCTCCTTCCTCCCTCTCAGCCTACCTCCCTTCTCTCTCCACCATCCCGTCTGGTGCAGTTGGGGTATCCACCGGGCACCTCCTCAGAAAATTACATATAAATCTACAATACATTAATTTTTATACATCTATCTATTCCCTTTCCCTCCTCCCCCCCCAGACTTCCCAGAGCTGATCCAGGAAATAAACACACAATAATCCAATTCTATCCAAAGCTACTCATTATTACTACACACTAGTATAAATTTACTATGACTCTAAAATAACATTAAAATACCTACAAATTTTAATAATATAACAATATTTCTTTTTGTATATAAAAGAAAAAAAAGAAAAAGAAAAAAAAATTAATCAAAAGCTACATGATAATTATTCAGTCCATATTTTCTCTGAATATAATCTATCCATCTTCTCCACATTGAAATAAATTTCTCCTGAGAATGATCCTTCAGGAATGCGGATATTTTTGCCATCTCTGCAAAATACGATAGCTTCTGTCTCCAATCATCCATAGTTGGTAATGTCTTCTTTTTCCAATTTTGAGCAACTAATATCCTTGCTGCTGCTATACAGTACAACATCAATTTCATTTCTTTTTGATCCAAATTATCCATAATACCCAATAGAAATAACTGCGGTGTAAATTTTATCTTTTTCTTAAAAATCTGTTGGATATTCCACCAAATCTTAATCCAAAAGGCTTTAACATCCCTACATGTCCACCAAATGTGGTAATAAGTTGCGTCCATATTATCACATCTCCAACATTTTGGTTGCAAATTCGGATACATGCAAGACAATTTTTGGGGATCCAGATGCCATCTATAAAACATTTTATAAAAGTTTTCCCTTAAATTCTGTGCTTGGGTGAACTTAACATTTCTTACCCAAACTACTTCCCAAGTTTCTAACATTATTGGTTCTTGAATATTTTGAGCCCATTTAATCATACAATCTTTAACTAATTCTATTTCCGAATCAAAGTTCTATCAAAACACTATATATTCTCCTAATATGGGCTCTACTTTGATCTTTAATCTGTTTTATCAAGTTTACATCTTCTAGAGTTAAACCCAATTTTTGATCTATACGCTATCTCTACACCAACTGAGAATATAAGAACCAGGACTGGAGTACTTTATCCTGTCTTAACTCATCCAAAGATTTAATTTGCCAGTCCTGTCCTCTTAACCTAAGTAAATCTTTATAAACAATTCCTTCTAATTTTACACCCCTTATAATTCCTTGTATTGCATGTTCCGGAATAACCCACATTGGAATTTTGAAATTTACCTTGTAAGAATACTTTTTCCAAACTCTCAAAAGTGCAATTCTTAAAATATGAGATTTAAAAGCACGATCAATTTTCTTATCAAAAAATAAATAAGCATGCCATCCATAATATAAATCCCAACCTTCAAGTACCAAGATATTTCTATTAGTTAAATTAATCCAATCACTAATCCAAGTTAAAACCACCGCATCATAATATAGTTTTAAGTTAGGGGCTTTAAGTCCTCCTCTTTCCCGTGCATCTTGCAAAATTTTGAATTTTACCTTAGGTTTTTTTCCCTGCCAGATAAACCTGTTGATACCTCTTTGCCACTCCTCCAAATTTGAATCCTTTTTTAAAATAGGTATCATCTGAAACAAAAAAAGGAACTTTGGGAGAACCACTTTTCTTGATGTTGTGTGCCTACATAAAGAGAGCTGGAAAATCATTTTATCAAAGTGACTAGATTTCACATGTTCCAGATGTGGATTGGCTAGCTGGCCATGCAAGCTTCAGAGCTTCATTTCTTCCTCCCACCCCACCATCTACAGAGAAGAGGACTGATCTACTTCCCAAATGGCAACACCTAGCCAACCTTGCTTGAGCCCTCAAAAACTAAAGAGTCAGACCTAGTTAGGATGTTAATGGCTGCCTCCCATGAATGCCCAGGGTTTTAGGATATAGAGAAATTGAAGAAACAGCCTAAAAGAAGGCATTGAAGAACTGTTTCCATACTATTACCGGGAAAACTGTATGGATAAGGACCAAGAATCAAGAGAGACAGTTTGATTCAATCTTTAGACCCGTCAAATAATGTCATAGAACTTGGTTTCTTTTCATTTTTAATTTGTCCCTTCTCACAAAAGTCTTCAAAACTTTAGCAAACCTCTTTCGTAAGTCCAATCTAGGAAAGCTATCCAAGTTACTCTCTTAGTTTGTTTTTGTATATCCCATTTAATTATGAAGACATATGATTTTGTAAATTCAAAACAAAAGCATTTTCCCACATGAAGGATTCTATATAATTAGTTCAAAAACCTTATTTCAAATTTATATGGATCTTTAGTCCATTTGTAACCTTGTAAAAAGTTTTAATCATCCTTTTGCTGTTTATTTGATCTTTTCTAAAATTTAAAATTTCTTTCTCTGGGGGTTGTTGAAAATTCACCCAATGCTGTAAAACTGTTGATCCAAAGATTCCTAATAACTGAAAAACAGTTAACAAGCAATTTCCAAAAGTGATTAGAAAAAGAAGTATGGAAACTTAGTGTCCTTTCAAAGGCACTATCCCCAGTTTGAGCAAGATAACAATTCCTTCATCTCTTACTGCTCTAAATTTTATGGAAATTAATATCCTGCAGTCTCCTTGTGAGGAGCCAGCTGTCTTACAGCTGGACTATCTAAGGAACTTCCTCTCCTGTTAGAAACCTGCCTTTGCTATCAGAATCTCATTTTTCTAGCATATAAGAATCCTTCCTCTGTGTTGCTCCCAGCCTATAAACGATCCTCTGAAAAGAGTTGCATTTGGCCTCTCCTCTTATCATTTAAGCAATACATAAAAGATCTCTCTTGCACTTTCACAGTTGTATTTTAATATATACTTAGATTTTACCTTTCGTAAAAAGGTGAGATATAAAGAAATACATAAATACCTCTGAAGTCATTAGCTATCCAAGAACAGAAGATTCTTCATCCTGACCTGAAATTTACCCATGAGTTTTTCCAAACCTGCTCATTTTATGTTGAGCTCAGCTGAAGAGATGGCTCTAATGCTTAGTCCCCAAATTGCTCTGTTTCAAAAGAAGCCCGGGTTCAGTTCTTGCCTAGCATGCAAATATATGCACATTTGCAGCTGTTCAGTCCTCCCGGGCCATAAAAATATTGCTGTTCCAGTTGATTGTTTGGCTGGGTTCGTCGTGATGAGATTGCATCTTGTTTTCAGGAACTTCAAGATCACATAGATGAACTTCAATCTCAACTGGAAGAGTATCAGATACAAGGCAGAATTATCCGACCTTCACTGCAAAACACTCTATATGAGGAGCTCAATGATTATGGAGTGCAAAGTAGTCAAGGTACAATATGTCCTACCTACTGTGTGTTATGAGGAAGTTATTTTGGGACAATCAAGCTGTCTTTCCAGTTTTTACGTAGCCTGTATTGCAAGAGTGTACCAACACTTCAGGGAAAAGCTAAAGCAAGTGAGCAAATCTCTAAAATCTAAAATCTCTAATTACTTTCTGAGTCTGGGGAGGTCAGGGCAGTATATGGAAAAGAAGTTGGATCTAAGGATTAAACAGATTAAGCTAACAAGACTGCCAAGTGTCCTGACTGGTGCTGCTGAGGGCAGCTTTCTAATACCTTAAAATATTTTAATATTTATGCTAATGTTTTCCATCATTGACTAGCTGTCCAAAAGAGCTTCATTTCTTTTTTTTTTTTGCTATCCTGTATTCTAGAGCCTGCTTCTGAGGACTGCAGCCATCTAAACATGAGCATAGAAGCCGAAATAATTATTGAACAACTAAAGGATCAGCTTCACCAGGATGTCTACAACTTGCAGCAGGAGCTTGAAAACACAGTAAGTTTTCCCCACTTTAGCATGAAGCCAGAAGTGCTTGCATCAGAGATTGTTATTACACTTGCCCAGGACATGTTTTTATTTAATTAAAATCTGTTGTTGTTATAATCTTTAGTTTTTTTCTTGAACTTAAGTTTGTTGGCTTTCTGGAGCTTCTGGGTGATTAGTGGTGAGCTATGAAGTATCCAAATGAACAGAAAAACCAACTGCAGCTAAGACTGGACCAGTGACTAGACTGGTCCACATAACATCTCCAGATAAGGAGAGAATGGAAGATCATTTACTTATGCTCTGGATAGCTGCTCCTTGTAAGAAGACTACAAGACAGCACCAGAACACAAATGAAATCATCATCATCATGCTGTCAACTGAGGCAGAAACTACTAAAGGACACTGAATTTACTAACCCACTTTCTAATTACTTTCTGAAATTGCCTATTCAATTAACTTAAGGACATTAGACGTTTTCAAAATAACAAGTTTCGTTTTTTGAATAAAACAAAAAACAATCAGCTTAAGAGCTTAACAAATTAGAAATATTTGCAAACAGCTAAATTCAAAACTGATTTAAGAAAGTTATAAATAAATTAAGGGAACAGACAAACTTGGAATAATGGAAAATTAATACTTTTGGTAAAAGAGTTTGGAAATAAGTGTAGAAATGAACAGCACATTTGTGGGAACCAAGCTGTTTAGTTTATCTTGAGTCAAAACAGCAACTTGAGACTATTATTTTAAAAATCAAACACTAGAGGGGACTAAAGATTCCAGGCAGAAAGGAAAAAGGGGTGGAAAATGAAAAGTATCTTTGATCAGCCCTAGAATTTGCAAAATGGCAGAAAATGCTTTGATATTTGAAATGCTTCAGTAGATTGTTGAAGAATGGGGTCAAAAAATAGAAGCTTCAGTCTCAGCAATGATGCATGCATTCATGAATAGATTATGTCTTAAAGATATTAAAGAAGTTCTGATATGAAAGAGAACATTGTGGAAGATTTGCAAGATAAAGAGATAAAAGAAAGTTTGCCTGATGTAGAAATATCAGAATATTAAAAAAATTCAGAAGTACTGAAAAATAAAAAATGGACTAGGAAACAACTAAAGTGGAAGTACAAATGACAAACCAATAAATTGACATAGATAAAGATCTTTTACTGAATTTACCAAAGAAGTTGGTTAAAGTCTGAAAGAAATTTTCAAAATGGGAAAAATAAAAATGGAAGAGAGATCGAATTCTACATAGCATCTGAATGAACTAAAGATTAAGATTGTTAAAAACAGAAGTTAGAACAAAGATAGATTGTTTGACCAAAGTTAAAATAAGACATATTTGTGTAAATCTGGCATTCTTTATGGACTTTTTGTTAACACTGGGAATGTAATGATTTATGGTTTTGTATATGGGTTATGAGGCAAAGTAATGTAATGATATGGGGTGAGAAATTATTAAGTTTGTACTTGTAATGAAAATCAAAAGCTTCAGAGAACTGATGATGGTTTCATGGATCACCAGATAAGGCTGTCCTTTGCAGACCTCTAAATTAAACTTGGGAGTCCCATCAGCAGAGAACCTATTATTGAAGACAAGCTGTTCATAAAGTAGTTCCTGAGAGGCAAAAGCATAGAGTACTTATTTCCTCCCCTCTCAAGATCTTTGTTCCTGATGGACACAATAAACAGAGAAGGAAACTCTGTATAGAACATTTACAAAGGCTTATTGAATGAAAGTTTGAATACAGTTATCTCCTTAATAGATTTTCCAGTTCAAGCACAACTGATTAGAGATACACAGCAATCGGTATGATTTTCCCAACTGAAATAAGAGAAGTTGCCTAAATTACGAATCAAATAGTTACAAACAGTTGTCATGTCGCTTGATTCTAGAAAGACAAAATGCACCAAGCAAAATAGTAGGTTATAGAATGGAAATGCTTTGCCCAGTACATGCAGCCACTGCATCTTTCTTACATAACTCCTTTTTGTCTCCTATTTTATACCTAAATGGTTTGGGCTCTGACAAACTAGTTTTCATAAGCCTTATCATGATTGTGGAAGTTCTTGTCAGATTCTTGTCTGACTCTTTTGTCCATCAGTTATACTTTGATCTTCTCCTGACACTTCGCACATCATTGTTTTAGCATCCTGTTATATTTCTATGCACCTATGCATTCAGATGGACTGCATGAGTAAGACTATGTATTCATCATAATAATTCATTATCCATCATGATCACTAACAGAGGTCAATGCTGGGCAAACTATAAAGAGGTTTCATTCTATTCATGCCAAGGATTGTCTCTGATTCCCTTGGTTTCTGTATGTCCAGGTACTCTTCCAACAGTAGCTGGTCACAGAATTGGTCTATGTAGGCTGCTGCTACTGCTGGAAATATAAGTGAGCCTGTCACATAAATTATGCTGGCTGGACATATTGAGAACTATATTCCTACACATCTGCCTTTTTCCAGAATGCTAATGGGACCTCTTTTTAACAGATTAAAACAGATTAAACTGTTTGCATTCATTTTCAGTTATATCTGCTATTGAACCAAACTGTCTGCAATGTTTTTATTGAGTTATGCGGAAATGCTCATCATAATCTTCCCCTTCACTTAGGTATGCCATTATGAAAAGCAGCTTGAGGAGGCCAAAGCCAACTATGAGGAGGGACAAGAGAACGTCCAGCAGGAGTACTGTCAGGAGAGACAAATGTTAGAAGAACAAATTGAGTGTCTGCAAGTCCAGATTTCTGAGCTTCAGGGACAGCTGGCAAGCCTGATGCAGGCCAGCTCCCAGCAGAGTGTGGAAGGGAACAGTCTCCAGATATGCATGGATGAGAAGGCTAGCCTTATAGAATGCCTGAGGATCGATCATGAGAGGGAGCTCCAAGCCAGACTGAAAGAGGCAGAAGAAAACTTTAGTCATGAGAAGGAAGAGTTGATTCAGTCTAAATCCTGGTTGGAAGAAAGAATGAGAACTTTAGCACAGGCCATCCAAGAAGAAAAAATGGAGCTAGAAAATGGGTTCCATGAGAAGTTGCAAAGGCTGATGGAGAAGCAGGCCCTGGAGATGGATCAGCTACAACAAGAGCTACTAAGAGTGCATCAGCAAGAGCTCCAGGAACAAAAGTGAGTAACTTCTTTTTTTTTTTTACAACAGCATAGAATTTACCTTGGATTAACTCATTGTATCTTAGGAACCCTGACAACTACAGTTCTGGGCTAAGCATTGGATAGCTCTAGGTCTCTAGTAGAAGCTAAAGCACATCCTTGTTAATGAGTGCTATGCAGAATCTTTTGGAAGATTTCTGAGTCAGCATTTAGGAAAATCCAGTAGGGGAAAGCAAAAGAAGAAGAAGCCATAATTGTATTTGTATATTATTATTATTATTATTATTATTATTATTATTATTATTATTATTATTATTATTATTATTATTATTATTATTATTATTATTATATTATCTATCTATCAAATTTTGTGACTGTCCATCTTTTGAGAGTGTATACTGTAATTGTATCTACATTAGTTACATTGATCTGGTTGCTTTGTATATTGTGGGAGTATACTGAATTGTATATTCATCTACATATATATTGAATTGTGATAAAGTATATTTTAAACAATTTATGCAACTATATCATTATAACAAATCACTATTTTTGTGCTAGTTTTGTAGTGTGTTTCCAGTCTTAAGTGATAATTTTTTGTTTGTTTTTAAATGGGTTGTTTCTACCTCCAAAAGCAAGCTTTAAATCAAAACCTATAAAACCCTGCAATGATGGCAGGATCCTAGAGAGATAACTTTTATTGTTACAGCTTCTGACAAAATTGGTTGTGAACAATTGAATGACATTTTCCATCTGTGTGAAAGGATCTATAGATCCCATCACGTGCAGCATATATTAATATTTTAAAGGGGCCACTAGTTTCTTTTAAATACTACTAATTATTCATTAATATTTTACCCGAGACTGAGAACCATACTCACATCAATATCCCTTGCTTAGACATTATTACCATCACAGTTATTACAATTACTACAATATTCTAGTCACTGTCAAAGATTAGATATTAATTCAAAAGGCAGAACTTAATAAAATAGGTTTTGAGATTGGCTATATACACATGAAGGTATTATAGATATATCAAATGTGCTCTCAATGCTTTAAAACAGGGGTATCAAACTCCAGTCCGCAAGCCGGATGCATCATAGCGAAACCACACCCACTCCGTTGCCAGCGATGGAAAAAAAGTCGCGATACAACATGTCACGTGACATTGCGAGTTTGACACGCCTGCTTTTAAACAAGCCAATATTATTTTACTCCAGATGCCAGAGCAACTAAAAAAATAAGTCTTGACTTATGGTAGTGGCACAATACTGCTTTGTTTGATCATGGATCTCATATGTTGGTGCCTCTGTTCAATTTGCTCTGCATAAATACAGCATCTCATGTAATGTATACACTGATTGTTTGTTCTGCCCTATAAATGGCAGAAATCCCCAAGCAAGTGTAAATAGCTCCAACAATATTGGAGCAATATTTGTCAAGCCTTTGATACCTCTTAATCTGAATCACGCCCCCCCCAGCATCCACCTTCTTTTCTTTGCAGAATGAAAGGAAAGTCCTAAGGCAGCAGGCCTTTGACTTGGAGTTTAGCCCTGTTTTGTCAAGATTACAGTATTTCCTCCAGTTTCATTGCCTGTATTGATAAATGAATGAGGGCAAGTGAATCATAAATATGAACGGGGCTAATAAGCCTTACAATACATGAGGTCTCAGTTTTGGGATGCTTGACCTGGAGGGTCTTATAGATCATAGCCTATAAGAGACTTGAGGTCTCTGATACAATAGATTTAAATTCAGGACCAGTGACATCATAGGGCCTGAAATGGTTTATATCAAGTGAAGAAGCCTTTTGTGGCCAGAGGCCATAATTAACTACTGGGGCAACAACTTAGTCAGCTTATATGTAGACACCTTGCAAAGGGGCTGCCTTTGAAGAATACTTGGCAGCTGCAAATGGGCCAGAATGCAACATCCTTGGCCATTATAAGCACATCTTGGTATGCTTCCAGATGCAATTCAAGGTGTTGGCTATGAAGATCCTTCATGGCATAGGGCCTGACTGAAGAAACACCTTTCTCCTATTGCTTCTGCCTGACTGGTAAAATCTGCCAAAGGGGTCCATCCTTAAAATCATTCCATCTGATGTGACTTTGGCAGCATGCCTTCTTTGTTGCAGCACCTACTCTCTGGATCCTATCTGAGACTTGAGTTGCTCATTGTTTGTTATTTTAATCCCTAATGTATTACTTTGTATTATTTTTATATTGCATTGAATGTGGATTTTCAGGCGAGTTGGCCATTAATATGAGTAATAAAGAAATAAATTGTAAAGACATTTTTGGCAATTGGATGGGACTCTTGGTCTTACACAAATCTGGGGCTTCAGGATGCTCATCCTTGCTTTCCAGCATCTCTTGCTTCCAGTTTTACTGGTCCAGTAAATCTGGCTAGCTCTTTTTGTGAGTCACAAATTGAGTATGGACTTCAGTAATTCTAAACATCATTAATATATAAATATGAATAAACCTAAGAAAACAAAAACCTCTTTTTCTTTTTGGATTGTGGTCAGGCTATTTAGGAGATCAGTGTACTCTAAGCGGATAATCTATTCATTCAAAATGTATTTTACCTTTTAGATGATAATTTATTATATTAAATAGAATATCCTGTATTAAGAAAATCTGTAGTTATTTTGCTAGGTCATTATTCTTAATTTAATAGGCTGTAACCTGATTGAACATGAGCCCCTTTTTTAAAAGGAAGAAGAAAAATAAGCAAGGGACAGGAATTAATCAAAATAGGATTAAGAATAAAAAATACCAGGCTAAAAATTACAAATGGCCATTGTTGCAATTTGCTACTAAAATTGCATTCCAGGTCTAAGACAACTAAAAACTAGTACAGTAGGTGGTCTACAATCCTTTGTCTCTGAATGTGTAGAGATTTCAGTAATGTGTTGTGTTGACCACATTTAGGATAAAAATGGAAAATGAGTATAATGGAAGAATATTTCAGAAAGAGGAATGGTTCACCGCTGAACAACAAACACTTGCAAGGAAGTATGAGGAAACCATAAACAAACTTGAGGATCAGCATCAACAAGAATTGCTGAAGTTCTCTAGGCTGCAGTTAAATGAGAAATCCCAATGGGAATCTGAAAAAAATAAAATTCTCCAGGAAGGCATTGAGGTCCAAGCAAAATGGAAAGAAAAACTGGAAAAAGAGACAGCAATATCTTCATTACTGGAACAAGACAAGAAACTTCTAGAGACAAATTACAAGGAGCAGCTGAACTTGTTGATCTTGGAGAAAGAGCAACTTCAACAAGAGGTTCAGGACATGAAAAAACAAGAAAGTGAATTGTGTGAGAAACTTCTGAAGAAGTTTGAGTGTGAGATGGGGCTAAGGAAAAGAGAAGAAATGCCAACATTAGAGGAAGAACAAAAGCAACTTAGCAAAAAGCTTGGAAGACTGGAAACAGAATTTGCACATGAACAAGAAGAACAGAATTCTAAGACTTTGGAGTATTTGAAGCAAGAGATGCCCAGCAGAGCAACAGAAGAAAAAAATGAATTGAAATCAAAGATCTTAGTGCTTGAAAATAAAATAGAAGATCTACAGCACGAATTGCAATGTCAATCCAAACTGCAAAGCAATCTTGTTTCTTTAAACAAGGATGAGGAAGCAAAAGGAAGTGACTTTCTAGAATCTGTCAAGCCCCGGGACCCTGGAAAAGAGATAAATGTTCTTTCAAAACAAGAAATAGTTCAAGATCCGGGAGAAGAAAATAGTGTAGGAACTACCTTTCTGACGGATGACTTGTTAAAAGAACCAGAAAAAGAACCATCCCAATGCCCTGGATTCATCCCATTAGTTCCAGAAACATTTGTAGGTGCACAGTTCCTAAGTGTAACTGACAAAGACAGCAGTCAAGTTGTAACAGAAGATGGAATGAAAAAATTAGACAAAATTGCAATTCCAAACATGAAAAATGGAGGGACAACAGCTGAAGAAACCATGGAGACTTCACATGTCTTGCCGAAGGCCTATGAAGAAATTTTGGCAGAGAATGAAGCCCTTAAACTGCGACAGAATCAGCTTCTGGAGAGGATCATTCTGCTAGAGACTGAATGCAATCAAGCAGCTCATGCACGACAAGACATGGCTTCACAGGTTCAGAAGGAGCTGGAGGAGATCCTTAAAACTATTCCCCAGCCTAATGTGTTGGCATGTGGAAGTGATGAGAAGGGGGAAAGTTTACATTGGGAAAAATTGCCTACTGGCTGTGCAACCAAAAACCAAATGCTCTTTGCTGAAGCTTTGGATGCTGATTTAAGCGTTGAGGAAATGAGTGCCTACTCTCTTTTATTTGAGGCAGATCATGGAGAAGCTAGAACTGACAAGGGAGACCTCCATGATATAGTATCAGGATTTTGGGATATGGATATGATGGAAGATGCAGACTCCAGAATAGGATCTAAAATCTTCCAATTTCCAGAAGAACTCAAGCTGGAAAACCAAGCCCTAAAAACAGAGATAATCAAATTGTTAGAGCGTAACAATAAATTGGAGGGATACATGCCAATATTTATAAGCCTGCAGTCCAGGCTAGATGAAACCAACCAAGACTGCTTAACACTTGAGGAGGAGAAAGGGCAACTGTTACAGAAAGTGAAAGACCTGGAAAAGAAACAGGACCAGTTGGTGATGGAAAATGCCAACCTGCAAAAGTCAAAGCTGATTTTGCAAAGCCAGCTTGGCAAACTAGATGAGCTCATGCTGAATCTGCAACCCCAGAAGAGTGGACGGCTGAGCCGTTGTGAGAATGTCACCAAAGATGCAGAAGTGGACAGGAAAGGGCTTCATGAGCTGAACCGGAAGCTCAAAGAGAAAATAGCAGTGCTCCTGAAGCAGAAAGGCACCCATACTCAGGAGAAGGAGAGTCTGAATGCTGTTCTTCACAGTTTGCAGAGCACCTACAATGAGCAGCTTCAGAAGATTGAGTTTTTGAGGTAATGTGGAATCCTTCCATGGTCTAAATCCTGCCACTAGGCTCTGCTTTTTGGAACTAACTACCTAATACTTCATTGTCCACCTCGCATGGCTTGGATTAACATATAGATTAACTTTGCCTAGAAGACAAATGCTCAGTGATTTCTAACATGAATCAATAACATTTCATAGAGATTTGAAGAATAAGTAACCATGTATAACTTTTATGAAGTATTAGAAAGCTGAATTGTTTAAACGGCAGGCTTATCTATTGGGAGCTGTGCAGATGGCATGAGACAATCATTTTTGTGTACTGCTTAGTTTAATGCTTTTATATACCGTCATTACAATGCTACCTTTTGTATCATTCCTCCTCTTCCTCCTCCTCTTAATTCCTTGTTTATAATTGTCATAATTCTGATTAGTTAACCATTAGCACTTTAATGTATTCTGATTCAACATATTATTGTAGACATTTCCTATAAAATATAGCAAGTTCTTCTGTTTGCTAACAATGTAGTAAGAAAGGCATCTTTGCAGATGGGTGGCCTGCATCATAAAATAATATCAGAGTAAAATTCCTTCAAGTTAAGAGCAGCTGATGATTTCATAGAGGTGATAATGGTGTTTTCAGGCAATAATATGGGAGTGGTTTGCTACTGAATGTTTTAACTTCCCACTCTAGTCTACAGATATGGAATTTCCTAGTGGTCTCCCGCTCAGCTACTAACAAAGCTTAGAAGCTTGGCTCTTCAAGATCATCTAAGATTAACTAGATGATGCTACCTGCCACAGGCATAAATAATATGCATTTCAACAAACTAATTCGGGCTGAGATAGTTCAAAGTAACTTGAGCATCCCAAAGAATCTATATTTTTGCATCCCAGATGCGAGGATCCTAGAGAGGAAAATATTGCCAGGAAGAATGAGATTTCCTTATTAAATGAAAAAAGGAATCATCCCCAACATGTAACTGAGGGAGCCTAATACAGGTAGTCCTCGACTTATAACAGTTCATTTAGTGACCATTCAAAGTTATAATGGCATTGGAAAAAGTGACTTATGACCATTTTTTACACTTATGACTCTTGTAGTATCCCCATGGTCACATGATTTACATTTGGATGCTTGACAACTGACTCACATTTATGATGGCTGCAGTGTCCCAGGGTCATGTGATCTCCTTTTGCAACCTTCTGACAAGCAAAGTCAATGGGGAAGCCAGATTCACTTAACAAACCGTGTTATTAACCTAACAACTGCAGTGATTCACTTAACAAATGTGACAAGAAAAATCACAAAATGGGGCAAAACTCACTTAACAAATTTCTCACTTGGAAACATAAATTTTGGGCTCAATTGTGGTCGTAAGTCAAGGACTACCTGTACTTAAAACAATATTTCAGCTGTTCTGAGATGCTTTTATAGTTCCTATTAATATTCACCCACATACGCAGCAACCTTCCCCTTTCAAGGTACATTGAGACTTCACTTCCCAAAATATTTAGGCAGCCTGCCGTTCAGCCCCAAAATACCAAGATGGATCTACCTAGGAAAAATTATTGTACTGTAGAATGTGATGGTTCTATGTACTGTGCATTTTTAGGGAAAAAACAGAGACCGTGCTGAAGGAGAAAATGATCGTGCAGAAGATAGCTGAAAGCTTGAAGAAGCAGGTAGGACTTTCTACATTTAGGCAACCTTCGTTGGCCAAAAAACCCTGAATTCACATCAATTGTGAAGCTGATTATAATTTATATAAAACTGTATAAATTTTCATTCCTGTACTTGTAATTTCACATTAATATTTTAATGTAAATAGTGCTAGTATGATCAAATATGAACATTACTTCCAGTAATATGCAAATTGGAACTCGGCTATACCTTAGCTTTATGCTTGCTCATCATAAGATAGGATTCATGAGTTAAACCTCCTTTCAAAGTGCACTTTAAAAAAAAAATTCTGGATATTATGTTTCTAAGTAATTATTTAGCGATTAGAGTTAGATAGCTGCCCATCTCCGAGAGACTCTAGGCAGCAAGCAATAATTAGTAAGAATAATAAAAACAAAAAAATGTATAATATAAAACCCTTATTAATAAATACCATAAATATGAAAATAGAAACTACAGGAGAAAGAGGATAAAAGTAGCCACCTCAACAATGGAGCTATCTGAGCAGGTCACCTGGGAGCCCCAGTCCTGACAATATAGCCAAGGCTCTGGGGAATATCAAAATGGGGATGGAACTAGTCTAATTTCAGGGGGAAGAATGTTCCATAAGGCAGTTGCCATGGCAGAAAAGGCACATCTTGTAGAGACCATCAAATGAAGGGCCTTGGCAAATGTTACTGCTATACCTACTGGGGCAGGCTGATGTCATCGGGGAGAGGCAGACCCTCTGATACCCCGGTCCCATGCCATAAAGGGCTGGAAAGGTTAAAACCAGCACTTTGATTTGGACCCAGAAGCAAACTGGTAACTAATGCAACTTGCAGATCAGAGTTGTAATGTGTTGTTCCAGGAGCACACGTAGATTTTTATAGGCCAGCTTTTTACTGCATGAATCTTACGGTATTGATATTTTGGTTGGGGAATTATGGAAAAGAAAATTCTGCCCACTGGGAGAATATCAGATTGGTGTTAAAGCGATGGGCAGTAGTCTTAACTATTTACAATCAATGCTAGCTTTTTCAAGAGAGCACAGTCTGGCCCAGCTCTCCTCATATCCTGAAACCAATTACTGTTGATTGAAGAGTAACCTTCATTCCCTTCTTCATTGCCTTTTACAGAAGGAAAGAGGCTTGAAAAGTATAATTTCCTTTGTCCAAGGAAATGTTTCTTACCATTAATTTTTGTTGGGTTCTTGTTTCCTAATTAGGTATCTGAACTGAAAGCCAGGAATCAACAATTAGAATTGGAAAATGCTGAACTTGCCCATCGAAACTCTCCAAGTCGAGCAGATATTCAAGATTCTAACCAGCAGCTTATGAAAACATTTCGGCAAAAGGAAAAGGAGACTAGGAAATACATGTCAGAAGAATGGGAAAGAGAGAATTCCCAGCTCAAAGAAGAACTGGAGAACTCTAAAATTCAGGTACAAGAGACTACAACGAATACTAGAACCAAAGTTGAATAGCAAGAAGGCAGATTCAGATCCTACTTCGACCTCTATCATTCTCCCACTTCCTCTAAATCATATTTTGAGAATAATAATACCTGCCACCATTATCATCATCATCATGGTGCTGCTGTATAGGCTGCTTAATTAAAAAGGGACTTAATGTGACATAAAAAACAAAATACAGCACATTTTAAAGGAAATGTTATTTTAGTCAACTCTTAAGCTGCAAATTAACCAACCTTTGAGGCTTTCTAAGAAGAGTATTTTCCTCCACTTTCAAATTCAATTTAAATTTTATTTCAATTTACTCCTAGTCCTCTTCATTGGTCTCATCCTTGGAAACAGAGCTGGGTCAGCTCAGAATTCAGGTTCATGGTCTGGAGCAGGAGAACCATTTCCTCAAAGAAGAACTGGAGAATGTAAAACAGGTAATGGTGGGCAGAATACCTTTCTTCCCAAAGGGAATGGACATCTGCTTCTGGGGATCAGTTAGTTTATGATGGTCACTCCTGAGATGTACTGTATACAGTCTCCATTTAGCTGCAAACTTTTCATAGACATTATTGGGAAGTTTTTGAATACACTTTAAGCATACTCATCTCAAAAATTAAAACAGAGATTTTTCCATAGCTACCCAGTTGCCTAGATCTCTCTGAGCTGGAGAGTGAGATTTCCAGTGTCATCATAAAAAATCAGAAGCTACTGAAAGAGAAAGAAGCCCTCAGTGAAGAGCTGAACCGGTATATGGAGAAGGTGAGGGCACAGAATAACGTCCCATTCAAATACACCCTTTATTTCAATCTATAGATACAAACACATTACTTTTAGGGACCTCATTGTGGTGCTCATAACCAGCTTTAAGTTCAAATAGAAATATGGGACAGATGCAGTCCATTGCTTCAGCAGAAACATACCCAACCATCCAGAAAATAATAATATGTTAGAGGAGCCAGGGCTACTATCTGGATGATTGGAGACAATGGCAAGATGACCAGAATGCTTTTTCTTTTTCACCATTTTATCCCCTTTTAGCACATGGTGACAGCAAAATTATGAAATGTGCATTGTGACATCATAACACAAGTTTCACCTCTTATGTATTTATCTGCAACATCATGATGCAACTACAGAAGGGATGGAATTTACATCACAATGTTATGATGCACATTTCCCACTAGGCCTTTCTTGGTTCCCTTTTATAGATGTTCATGCCTTAGTCTTTCCATTAAGATGTTGCAGAGCACTGAGAGTTCAGCAACTCAGGAGGTTTACAAACATAATTAGATCAAACTACTTTGGTGTAGACCAGTAGTGGCGAACCTATGGCACGCGTGCCAGAGGCGGCACTCAGAGCCCTCACATGGCGTTTGGAAGCGACAGGGCAGGAAGTGAGCGAGCAAGCAGCGTTGGCCCCCTGGGGATGCCCCAGAGATGGCAAGGGACTGGCCCCCGCTGCCCTGGCCCCGGCCACGCTCACCCAGTCTGCTGTAACCACTGCAGCCATGCCCATCCAGTGGGCCACGCCTCCTCCCCCCCCCCGAGGGCACCACAATGCTGATGCAGCCCTGGCACTTTGCAATAAATAAGTGGGTTTTGGGTTGCAGTTTGGGCACTTGGTCTCTAAAAGGTTCGCCATCACTGGTGTAGGCTGTTGAGGCAGAACAAAAAACTAATGAGGGCTAGGCATGGATGGAGCCTTGGTAGGTGATTGTAGATACTAATAGCAATTCTGCCTGGGCTTTACTATCTTTGCAGGCAACTAAAGTGGCCTTCCTAGAGAGCCTCACAGCTTCTCTGAGAGAGGAGAACTCATCTTTGGAGCACCAGAATCAGCATCTGAAAGCACAAATGGCAGTATCACAAGACAAGGTGTGCTATTGTCCTGTTAAAAGATTTATGTTTCTAGACAGTGGATGCACTTACCTATTGATAAAAATATTTTCTAATTGGCTTATTTGATTCATTTGATTCTGCACAGTTAAGCTGCATCTATGATTTCTCTCCCACAAAAGCATTAGATTAGCATAATTTCTGTAGAGATGATCGTCATTATACTTTTGGTTCTCTTATGTTTGCTTGGTTCCAAAATAAACCAAAAAATACTCTTTTTCCTCTGTTCTTGCCTGTGCATTTATGCATGGATGTCTCTACCTGCCAATTAAAGATGAAATTTTATTGAGCAGTAAAATGTCCTTCATAGTATTATATATTCATGTCATGATTTAAAAAAACTTGTTTAGTAGATCATACTGATTGGTTCTGATTTATCTTTTCTTTCAGCTCCCACCTCTACTGAAATAGTCTGTTCTGTATTACTTTGATTGCTTCAGTTTGAAAAATATCTCAGGAACAAGAACTGTTTCTATACACTCTGTTGTTGTAAAGGAGAGAAACAACCCATGTTTCTTTACTTTCAAGAACAGAGAATGTGTCTTTGATCTTAGAAAAGTTTTTCTCATCCTGAAATACATATTCTGTACATACACAGTTTCTAACTGAGCAAGGAAAATGTGTGTGGAAACAGCATCTTGTCTTTGCTGGAATAACAATCTATTCAATGCCCCCCCTTCTTTTTTTCTTTGGCCCTTTTAGATCCAGAATTTTGATGATATTGTGCAAAATGTCAGCCTTCAGGTATCCAGGCTCAAATCAGACCTGAGGGTTACCCAGCAGGAAAAAGAGAATTTAAAACAGGAAGTGATGTCATTGACTAAGCAACTGCAAATGGCCAATGAGAAGGTATACATGGGTGGGACGATTTGATTTCAATAGTTGTTGAGTCATCCTAATCTTTCTTTAAAGGAATTTTGTGCTGCTATTTAGAAGCAGAAGTCTTCCCATATCTTTAAATGCAGGGGTTGACATGTTTAAATAAATTGACATGTTTTAAGCATCCTTTCAAAACCCATCTTTTTATTCTGGCCTATCCTGCTGTTGATTAATATATTTCTTTTTAATGAATTATCTTTGTTCTTTATTTTCTGCTCTAAATATAGCTAACTGCTTCAGGATCGTGTGTGATGAAAAATGACATATATATCCATAATAGTACCACTATCACTAAACCCATTGCGGGATTTAGTAAAATGACAACAATTTAATATTTGTTCAGTTACCATGAGATCAAAATAGCTGCATGAAAGGCTTTATAGCTGTTCAACACTATAATTAAATATTCTAAACCGATTAAATTCTTCAATCAATCACACAGCTGGATTGTAATCAAAATAATAATAAACCCTTTATTATCAAAGTATAACATGTATACAGTGAATTTGGCTGAGCCTCCCTCTGTGTCCCCCCCCTCACCACAAACTCGCGGTGACTACAAACCCCCAACTTATTTCACCCTGTGAACTAATTGCACATCACGCCGGCCTCACGAGTCTGTCATGCATAAAATACTTTCAGGGTTGTCTTTATCATTAGAGTAAATGAATAATGTGGATTAAATAGTCCTTTCTATTTGGAAAAATATCTGTTTAGATTGAGTATATCCCATCTTTTCTCTTCAGAAGCCCAGGTGGCATATGGAGATTTTCTCTTATTTATTCCCCAACCAGAATTCTGTGAGGTAAATGAAAGACCAGTGTTTCTCAAATTTGGCAACTTGAAGATGTATAAACTTCAACTCCCAGAAATGCACAGCCAGAGGAATGGAAGTTTCAGAGTTGAACTCCATATATCTTCAAGTTATCAAGGCTGAGAAAGCATTGGGTTAGACTGAGACAAAGTGATTAGCTTCTCCTACTTTAAGGATTCCACGCAGTTCTCAGATCAAGTGACAGCATGAGTGAAGTGACAGGGTCTCTTCAGTTCTAAACTAGATGTCTTAACCACTCCCCAGGTACATACTATAGTATGTGTGCTTTTTTTTTCAAATTAAGTTCTAAATACATGTCATAATTATCTTTTTTCAATGGATAGCAGTGTGAGAAATTGACTTCTACATTTTTTTTGATCCATGAATATAAGCAGTTGCTAATCCATAACCTATGTCCTGAATGTTAAAATAATGTCATATACTTGATAAATGTTTATTCACTTTTTAGCAATTACATGCATCACATCTGGGTTTGATTGTCTGCACTTTCAAACTATTACCATCCTATTCAAAATTCTTCACCATAAGTCTCAAATGAACTTACTTGTAGGCTCATGGCTATAATAATCTTCAACTGCAGAAGTTAAACTTTTGTTTTGTCTTCCAATAGTCCTATAAGGAAGCCCTTTCTAATTCTTATGCTTTTTATGGGAATGTAGCCCAGTTAAGAGGGACTGACTTGCTCATGTCCATAAATATAAGCCAAGGTAGAAAATGGCTTTGAATCCAAACCTCTGAGCAATCAATCTTCCTAGCTTGTATCATAAGTCTGACTCTGCAGTCTGCTTGCTTTCTTGCTTCAGAGTCGGTTCCTGGAAGCAGCCATGCATTCATCAGGGATACAGAATCAGCAGAAGAAGCTTTGTTGGGGTGAACTGGAGCTGATCAAGCAGGAGAATGAGCAGCGGCAGAGGGAATTCCAGGGTGCCAAATCGGAGCTATCTCATTCTAGGGAAAAGGTGAATTGGAATACTTGTCAAGTGCTAATATGTAGGCAGCCCACCTTATTCCAAGGTCTATAGAAAAAGTAACAGCAGTTCAGAGGTCACGTCTCTTGGTAGATATTTGAATCACCAACACTAGATTGACCAAAAATTGCTGACATTAGTTATTTCATCATTATAATTTCTACTGCTGAAACAAAGGAGTTGAATAAAGAGGATGGTAGGGAATAGGAAGTTCTGTTTGATTCCAATATTTAAAATGATTTCCCTTTAAGTCTTATAGCTATATCTTTTTGCACGAGGCTCTGCTTAGTGAGCTTAAATAAATGAGAAGAATAGCTCCCACAAGACTGAATTACTATTCATTCCTGTATAAAATCATTTCTATTCCTATTTTATCTATCTTAGTAAGTTACCATGGACCTGGGACTGATACAGAGCGATTAATACAATAATGTAGTGAATTTAACTGCTTTGCTGCAAGGATTCAAATGAACCTGCAGTGAAGAAAGTAAAATCACAACTGCTACTGTTGTTGTTGGCTTGGTTCATGGTACAATCTGGAAGGTTTCCCCTCTATCAGTAAAGGCAACATTGCAGGGAAAAAGAGGGAGGCCCCACATCACACAACCTGCATAAATGAACAGCAAGTGTGGAAATTTAATTTAATTTGGGAATCTTTTCTGATCTGTTGTCTATAGTTCCCAAACCTTTTCGGCTTTGCAGACCTGGGGGGGGGGAGAAGGGATGGATCGCCGTGCGCAACCCTGTGCACACAGCTCCATTTGCGCGAGTGGGGATGTGCACGCACACACTTGCCCACCGCTTCTGTGGCCTGGTTCCGAAAGGCTCAAGGCCCAGTAGTGGGCTGTGGCCCAGGAGTTGGGGACCCCTATAGTCTATGGAGATTCTCGATCATGCAGATGATGGTTGTCCCAAAGGTGCTTTTCAAAAGGCAACTGGACTATGTTTTTTTTTCTTGAAAATGTTTCACTTCTCATCCAAGAAGCTTCTTCAGTTCTGACTGAATGATAGGGAATAGAAGGATTTATATTCTTTTATGATCTGTTGTACAGTAAATCATTTAGATTTATTACTAGGTCCCAGTGTACCTCCTCTTACCTGTTCTCTCTCTCTCTCTCTCTCTTCTTTCTGTGTGTGTGTGTGAGAGAGAGAGGGGGATATTTAAATTTAGATAGAGTAAATAAGAATATTACCAATCAGACTTAAATGCATGTCTGATGCTTTGCAGCTTGCCTAACATTGGTAAATAAAATCTTATTTGGTTATTGCTCTAGCCAAATATGGCAGCTGGAAGCTACTATTCCAACCATCAAGCAACAAAAATACCAAAGCCAGTTACAGATTGTGAAATTCATTGAGCAAGAGAAGCTGAATGTGAATGAATGTGAATGGCTGCAGAAGGAGCTAGCTTTGGCCAGCAAGATCAGTTTTAGGTGGGGAGGGGGGTGGCCTAGAAAAATACACTTTCATTTTGCACTATTATTTTAAACTTTGAATTTATCACTTAGTTGTATTCCATCTTTCAAAATCTGTCAAATTATACAGTTTGTTAGTTCCATTTATTTTTACAGTGCACATCTTTGGGACACATGTATACCACTAGCTTCCGTCAAACTAGTTCCCATGTTCCAAAAACACAAGCACTATATTCCCAGTAATGGTTTTTATGGCTGGTCAATTAGCTGCAATCTCTGCCATAAGCAACCAAATGGCTGTCTATCACTATGTAGACAAATGGATACTGATGCATAAATCAAGCAACTGCTACAAGCCATGGCAGAAGGTATCTTTATGATCAAAAGCAATCTATATTTGTTGCTATAGAAGGTCAGAAGCAAGAGAAGGATACTGTTGCCATATCCTTCTTGTTCATTTCCTGGAGATCAGGGAATGTTGGCGAAATGATTATTATACTTTAGATTATGGAAGTTAATATACAATTCTGGTTCTTTTCACCAAAACAACATATGAGAGGTTATAAAATATAGACCAGTGATGGCGAACCTTTTAGAGACCAAGTGCCCCAAAATTGGCCCCGCCTCTGCTCCGCCCCCTCAGTCCCCCATCCCGCCTGCCCGCAGGGCCACTCACCGCATCCAGGGCCCGCCGATCACCCAGGCAGCCCAGCAGCGCCATGGCGGCCACACTCTCTGCCCATGCCCCGCAGCATCAACTGTGCACGATGGGGCGTGAGGGCAGAGTCTTGTCTACGCTACCTGGCTGCCATGTCCTTGGCTGTGCTCAGGGGCGACTCTCCTCCAGGGGTGCTGCTGGTGAGGAGGGGGTCATGGGGAGAGGCGAGGCTGGGGCAACGGCACGTTGATGTAGACCATGCAGACTTTTGACCTGTTTTAGCTGGGGACCTCATATTCTCAATTTCTGTATCTGCCAGTGAACTCCTGTTGGAAGGATGGAAGTTTTATAAACAATACTTCATTCCCATCCCCATAAGCCTTGCAACTCTAGGGATTATGATGAAGTTCTAGACAATTTGCTAGATAACCTCTGTGTTGAACTAGACTGACTATTAGAAAAGATCTATTTGGTTACAGGTTGACTATGCCTACATGTATGTTTTGTTATCTTTGCTTGGCAGAGTTGAAACTAAATAAATCATGCCACAATTTTTTTTCTAAAATGATACTAAAATCCTCGGGCAAATCCAACAGAGATTTTCAGAGTGGCAGAAGAATTAGCTGAATTTCTCTTGATTTAAGGATTGACACTCAGCAAAGGAACAGAATCTTCTCAGCCATGAGTGAGACTGACCTTGCAGTTTTCACCGATGTAGATTTTGCCATAAGAGATGTGAGCATAGCTGAAACCAGATTTCAATTCCTGTTGGCTTGTGGAGTTCACTGAGTGATTTTGAGCTAGTTATACCCTCTAACTATTATTAGACTGGCACGGTGGCTCAGTAGTTAAGACACTTGGCTTGTCGGCTAGAAAGCCAGCAGCCCAGGTTCGAGACCTGAGTGCACACAACAGGGTACGCTCCTGTCCTTGCCCCAGCTCCTGCCAACCCAGCAGTTTGAAAGCATGCAAATGTGAGTAAATAAATACCACTTCAGTGGGAAATTAACAGCGCTCCATGTCATGCTGGTCACATGAGCACGGAAATGTCTTTGGACAGCGCTGGTTCAATGCCTTGAAAAAGAGACAAGCACCACCCCTACAGTCAGCAATGACTAGCGGAGTAAAATCCGCAGGGACTCCTTATATATATATATATATACATATACCCTCTAAACCTTACTATCTCAGAGTGACTGAAGTAATAAAATTATAGGAGATCTTAAAGTAAGTCACCTTGAGTTTGGACAGGATATAAATGTAATAAATCAATATTTTGTGGAGAAGGAAGCCATTGGGGAGGGGAGAGGGTGTTTGGAAAGTCAGGTTCAACAGAAAATAGTTTCATTAAGCTTACAGTCTGAGCTCAAGTATTTCATTTTCAGTTTTAATCACAAAAAAGATCTAAATTGTCCCTCTGGAACAGACATTTTACTGCTGAATTTTAATGGCACAAAAGTTCAAGCAGCTTTGCTTTCAATCAATTCTTAAATCAAAATTTTGTCTCCAACAATGGCACATTTTGTGATCCAAATGAATTCAGAAAAGAAACATGTTGCACAATTTATTCTGATTCTACAAATTGCTGTGTGTAAGGCCAACAACAGTCATCCAAGGTTTGGAAGTTGGCCCAACCCACTGCTGCTCTGACCATTAGAAGAGTGATCAGAAATATTGATTCAGCTCCCATCCGCCCTTTGCTTCTGACATTTAATTGGACGCATCTTCACATGTTCAAACACCAGCCATAAAATATTGAAACCCGTTCTTACTTTTAACTCAAACCAGATCTCTTTAAGAAGCTGAGTTCTGTGCATATTAAAAGTGCAGGACACACTTAGCCCAGTCTACGTTCTCTTGAAGAGAATAGACTCAAAAGAGAGTCTCCATTTACGCATCCTACCAGCAGTTGTTTTCTGTTTCTCTGAAAAAGTCCTTGTCTTTTTGTATTTGATTACTCTTTTTCTGTGCAAGTTTCATTTGGCCTTTTTTTTGCCCTTTGATTCCCATAATTGTCTCTCTATCTTGTGTTTTTTCCTTCTTTCTTTCTGGCTAACCTGTGCCTAGACCTTGGTGGCTGGAACTAGCAGAGACGAATGCAGTGCTCTGCCTGACTTAACATGTGAAGGTAGAATCAACTCTTTTTTTCTGTGATCCCACTGCATGAAGAGAAAAGAAATGACATTACCAAGTACCTGCCATGTCATCTTTCCTTTCATTTGTTACAGACTTGAACATTAAGGCAATAACCTGCCTGATCTGAAGGAGCTACTCTTCATTTAAATGACCATCAATGGTCTTGCTCAAGTATCATAGGGATAATAGGCAAAAAGGGAGCTTCTGCAGCAAATAATTTCTCTAGTTTCAGGAAGAAAGAGAAAAGGCTTATTTTTAAAGTCCAAGAATATGAAACAGGAATGCTTAATACAAAACCAAACTTCAGAAAAAAAATGAAAAGTGGCTCTGAGATTCCATTTTCTTTTTTTACCCATTTTTTGTTAATTGTTGGATGGATTGTTTATTTTTGTGAGATAACTGGAATTAGTCGTCCTTCCATGGTTTCCCAATTGCATGCTCTTAGTGGAATGGTGGGATTGATATTTGCATGGCCAGGTTTACTGATCTTTGATAATCTCCAAACTATGTAATTTCCCCTATGTTTCTTTAATCTGTACAGCCAAGTGAGCCATATGCTCAGGGAAAATGCTCTTTGTAAGTTAATTGTGATTACAAAATATTTCTCCAATGTGTACTACATTTTGAGCTCCAGCTAAATTTCCAATGAACGTAGTGCTGATGATGGTTACAGTGATTGATAGCTTGTATGGTTTTCCACAAAGTTCAGAGCATGTGAACTGGATGTGCATGCAAGAGAACAGTTGCACATGCCCTTTCCACTTCATTAGTCCTCCATTCTACCACATATAAAAGACATATAAAAAGATTATTTATGTAATTCCAGTAAGAAGTAATTACAGGTGACTTTTCCCAAAGGAACCATCAGTGGAACCTTCATGATTAAACATAGTACAAATGTCTTATCTGATGCTTCATATTTGATGTTCTACAAATACTGATTTGTATTATTTTTCTGTAATAATTCTAATGCAACCTCAACCAACTTGATGATTTCCAAATGTGTTGGAATACAACACTTAAAGACTGGGAATTTTGTCTGGGAATTCTGGAAGTTGCAGCTGAACCAAAGAGTATCAGATTAGTTATACAAAACTGAATAAAACTGTACCTAAGCTGGTTCTGATATTTCGGGACAAAAACCAGTAAAATATTCTAGCAAATAAATAACACATCAAAAGCTTTCTCATATTGTTCAAGATTCTAATACTGTAATTCACTACCACTTTAAAACTATTTTTGTTATATTGCTGTATTGCCTTAAGAGCTGCAGGTCCCTATAGAGCTTACAGCATAAAAGGATTTCTTTTGAGTTTGTGATTAGCAAAATGTATGGCTGGTTTTATAATGAGAAAAATCTCCAACTAAAACTGCAATTATCAATGTGATCCTAGAGTTCTTTTCAAAAGGCCTGAGTTTAATACTATTCATTCCAAGGTAAAGATATATACAATTGCAGTCTAATCTGGGGAGTGGAAGTGGGGAGGTGAATTCTTAATAACATTTGGCAATCAATTATTTTTAAGCTACATCCTAAAGTCAACTGCTTTTAGCTGTCTTGGTGATGTCTAAGTTGGGGAGTCATAACACAGAACTGGAAAGGTATTTTTGCTTCCTTATGAATTTACTGTGTATGTCTTCAACATATACTGCTCAAAAAAATAAAGGGAACATTTTAACATGGAACTGAAGGAGTTTGCGTTCCCTTTATTTTTTTGAGCAGTATATTTTCTCAGCTCAATAAGTTAGAAGAAACAATAAAAAATATTACAAATTGTTATATTAAAATAAAAGCTTTAGGGATATGTGATGCTTCAGATCCAAAGCCAATAATGTGCTTTGCAAGGACATGGATGTGCACATCAATCCTAAAGACTGATTGTTTCTATGCCATCAGGTCAGTGTTGAGTCTGAGCAATCACATAGAAGGCCCTTTTCAGAAGGATCTGCCCCAACTGGCCCTTCAGGGCTCCCAGCAATTTTCCCTGTTCCCCTTAAGGAATTCCTTAAGGAAGCAACATTTTTTCCTGAGCTAGCTTTGTGAATCTGGGAGAAGATGTATTGAAATTAAAGAGGCACCAAATGTGTGTCCATACCACTCCAAAGTCCACTTTGGGCTTCAACTCCAAATTGTGGCACTATCTTATGAAACATGAATGTACACAGCAAACCTCCATTTAACAGAACAGCATTAGAAAAGTATTTTACTCCTGTGAAGGGCCATAATCTCTTTGTTACAATGTACAGGCAGGTGACCCCCTTTTCTACTTTCCTTCTAAGGTTCTTCCAAAAAGGTGTGCTTCTCCTAAAGAGAGTCTTCCTAAACTAAACACTAAATGTGTTCAGCTGAAACTCCATCATCCCCAGCCAACTTGACTGATACTGTCTGGCGCTGATGGCAATTATAATAAAATACTCCTGGAAGGGAGCTGATTGGATAAAGCATCTTAAAACAACAAACCTAATGCTAGGGGGGGGGGTTAGGGTCCATTCCTCCTTTGGTCTGGAGCATGGCAGAAGGTGGTTGAGTTTTTTTGACCTAGATCTCAGATGAGGTGCCTTTCCTCTTCTTCATCCCGATGCCTTTTCTTCCCTCTCCTCCTTGACCCCTTTGCAGAAAAATGTTACTGCATGGGCTGTGACAGTGTGTAGAAGAGTAAAATTGTATGAGTGTGCACACACAATCTAGAGGGAACATTAGACCGGTTGCTGGGAGTCCACCTTTGCATTCTTCCTAACTGATCTTGGTGCTCAGATGATGAGAGGGGGTTCTTGTCAACCCTGCAAGGCATCTCTTTTATATTTCCCTACCCATCTTGTCTGATGCAGCTGCTTCACTCAAACTCCAGCATGATGCTTAGCCCACCCCAGCACCCTCGAGAACTGCAGGAGATCCAGCAGCAAGGATGTCCTGTTGTCCCGTCCGAACAATACCAGCAGCTCCAGCACCAGTTCCTACAGGCAGAGAGGAGGTGTCAACGCCTGCAGGAGGAGCTTGAGAATCGGCCTTTGGAAACAAACATGCCCCAGGTATGTTACAGTCTGTTTCTTTTTCACTGAATGTAGATTAGTCATTTACCACTTCACTTTTTCTTCATTGTGTCCCTTTCTCTGTTTATGCCAGTTTCAAATTTCTAATTCTCCCCAAGTACTTAACAGATGTAATTCCTCCATATATTGCACCAAAGCATGCTTTCTTCTTCATAATCAGCATTTTCTCATCAACTGACTTAGGTAATTATGTCCATGAACTTTCAAAACCCCAGAACTGAAGGACATCAGAAAACATCTAATGTTTCTATTCAGTGCAGGATCTGCTAAATGGCTTTGGACAAATGGATATCTAATATCAGTTAGGACAAGGGTCCCCAACCCCCGGGCCGCAGCCCACTACTGGGCTGTGGCCCATTCAGAATCAGGTCATGGAAGTGGTGAATAACTGCACGCGTGTGCAGCTCCGCTTTTGTAAGCAGTGGGCAAGTGAGCAAAGTTCCATTTGTGCAAACAGCAGATGTGTGCGCCCGGCCCTCACACAAATGGAGCTGTGCGTGTATATGTACCTGCCACTCACACAAATGGAGATGCACACACACTTGTCCACCACTCACATGTAACCATGCCCTCTCCTCTCCCCCCCCCCGCAGGTCGCAAAGCTGGAAAGGTTGGGGATCACTGAGTTAGGAGACTTCTGGGGAAGGGAAACATGCCATTTATGATGCAGATTATTCTATTGGTTGACAGCCATGCCCTCAAAAAAAATTCTCCTGGTGCCAGGTTTGAATTTATACCTCTGTAGTTTCATCTCATTGGTTCTTGTTCTACCATCAGTGACAGAGATAATGTCTCTCCTTTCTTTATATGACAACCCTATGAATATCTGAAGACTCCTGCCATATTTCCTTTGAGTCTAGTCTGTTGCAAGCTAAACATATCCAGTTCTTTTCAACATTCTTTGTAGGACTGACCATCTTAGTAGCACCCTTCTGTACATGCTCTAGTTTGCAGTGTCTGGAAGTGAACGTAGTAAGATAGCAGTTTTAATAGAAATGGAAGAGCAAAATCTTCTATTGTTTTGTATGGGGTATTTTTAGAGCAGGCCTGTTATTTAATTTGATTTTAGAACAGAAATTTGTGTATATTTATCGTGGTTTTTATTATCGCCTGTTCACCGCCCTGAGTCCCGTAAGGGAGATAGGGCGGTATATAAATTAATTAATTAATTAATTAAATAAATAAATAAATAAATAATTAAATAAATAAATAAATAATTAAATAAATATTGAATTACCTGAATTGCAAAATTCAGTAGCAATCTAAGCTGCTGGTATTTTTCAGCTGAATATGGCAATCATTTAATATGAAGACATGCTGCATAAGTCAACTTTTCATTATGAAGTGTGTCTCTGCATCAAAATGATTCCATCTTTTATAATGAAACATTCAGACAATCTGTAGCCATTCAGATGTTGGAATCCAATTCCAGTCTGATCCTAGCAAGCCTGCCAATTAGTCAAGATTCATGAGAATTATTCTTTAGTAACATTTATATGGCCACAGGTTTCTCCCTCACATACAATTCTAGAAAATGGACTGGGCTTCTCTGTATTCTGCTTATTGTATCATTTAATTACAAAAAATGCTAGCAATCTGACATATCACTACTAATCCATGGTTAAGTAACCATAGATAAAATGTTAATAATAGAAATGGAGGATCCAGCAATAATTCTGATTTATGGTAATTGCCAATACACAACCCTATTCTATCTTTTACTTATGAAATACTGGAAGATAGGATAAGGGCTTTTTACTTAACTTATAGCTGACACTGACATGTTGAATTTCATCTGAGATTTATGCTGCATCTTCCTCCTTCTCCTCCTTCCTTTCTCTGCCTGATTCCATCTTTTGGATAAATCATTATGACTATTACATCTGAAATAAGATACTTTGGTTCACATTTTCCTCTAAACCTTTATTGAAAAGCAAGATTTGAATAGGCTTCTAGTTTTGCAGTGTGGGCAAACTACAACATGTGTAAAAGACAGCGTGATCAGTTTGGATGTAACAATAAATGTCGGCTGACCTAAATAAGGAATGGGGTGATCATGCAAAGAGAGGAAGAGATGTATTAGCCTGAGGCTTAGAATTGGCAATGAACCTCACCCCAATGTCAGAAAATAAGAGTCATTGGCTGTGTGGTGCTTGCTCTTTTTAAAGAGCTGTTGATCTTTAAAGAACTATTGTCTGCAATGCATGACCTATGTGGGCATGTGTGATTTCCTTGTTTTTGTAATGGGCAGTGACAATAACTTTCAGGAACAAAAGGACAATGGTCAGGGGGAAAAAACTTGAATTCAAAGAAGAAATGTAATTTGAGAAAACATCTCAGACTTGACCTCCCTAGTTCTCTTATGGATAAAGGCAGGGAGTGGGGAGATGGCAAGAGTTTGCTAAGGCAATTCTATAATAAAAGTAGAATTCATAGCTTTTGTTTCCTAGTCTGGTCTTACTTGAAGGGCTGGCATCCATGTTATTAATAAAAGAATTAGGGAGGGTCAAGTTTGACATGTTTTCTCAAACATTTCTGCTTTGGACTCAATTTCTTTTATCTGATAGCAATAACACTTAGACTTATATACCGCTTCACAGTGCTTTACAGCCCTCTCTAAGCGGTTTACAGAGTCAGCCTATTGCCTCCAACAATCTGGGTCCTCATTTTACTGACCTCAGAAGGATGGAAGGCTGAATCAACCTTGAGCTGGTGAGAATCGAACTGCTAGCAGTCGGCAGAATTAGCCTGCAATACTGCATTCTAACCACTGCGCCACCATGACTCTTCTGATCACAGTTTTGGTTGCAGCTCTTCCTCCTGTTCCTCAGAGTTAATCTCACAGCCCATTGAACTTCTTGTGTTTGTCTGTCTTGATGTAATGCTTAAATGGCACTGAGTGTTTGTGCTGCTTAAGTGTGATGTGCTGTTTTCAAAGGCCTGTGGGTCAAGTGTGTCCTCCTTGCCTTCTTTCCCCAGGCTTTGCTTCCGGAGCAACGATCATTGCATGCAGATACGTACAGGCGGATTGGTCATCTCTGACACTCCTTGGCTTCTAACGCACCGCATTCCTTACTCACAATAACTGGCATAAGCTGAGAAACCCAGGGATCAAATCACATTTCTTGTTAATTTAAAATCATCTTTAAAAAAAAAATCTGTCTTGTATTTTTCCCCATCCCTTATTTATTTGTGTCAGAATCTATTTTTATTAGGGGGAATGGGGAGAGAAAGAATTACATCTTTTTATTTCAAATGTTTTTAATTTTGTTATAAGTCAATTTCATTATTTATGCTATTTAAAAATGGCTTAACCACGGGAGTTTGTAAAGAGAAAAACTTATTTTCCCCCATCAGTTGTATACTGTAAGTATTTTTTAAATTAAATGGTACTAAAATTTTTATATATTGGATTTGGAGAAGAAATTTTGAGTTATTTATACAAGATTTTGTACAAGATGTATAAATACTTTTTAAACAAGGAAAGAGCAAAACTTTGGGGCTTGTAACTTGATAAATAAAATACTCATTTTTAAATATCTCCTTGTCTTTTTGTCTTACTAATTAATAGGGTTTTTGGATGCATTCCTTGATGAAGCTGGAGCTTTTATTAGGCTGAGTCATTTTGCCACCGAAGTTCAATTAAGGGTATGCTCCTTCCCTTGGCAACTTCCAGATGTGCTTATTGTAGTTCCCAGAATTCTTAGTAATAATCATTGTAGTAATTTCTGGGAGACACACATCAGAGAACTGCCAAGTTTGGAAAACACTAAATTAAGGCAAAACCATAGCTCAGTGATAGAACACATATTCTATGTGCAGAAAGTCCCAAGTTTTAGCTAGCATTTGTAGTTATGAGTAAAATACTCCAGTCTGAAACCCTGGAGAGTTGCAATTAGTATCAATAATGCTAATATCTATCTATCTATCTATCTATCTATCTATCTATCTATCTAAAACTACTTAAAAATAATCTGCAAGAAAGTGCACTCAGTTTCCCTAGATATACAACCGCTTTGTGGGCGGCATAACCATGTTACCAAATCCTAGATGACAAAACCATGTTTTGGGGCCCTTCCAGAAGGTGAAGTAAATATGACAAGAGAATGATACTGCAAAGAATAGGCACCACATCAAAAAAGACTCTCCTCCTGGGTCCCATCAGATGACCTTGGATGAAACCTGCAACATGCCCTTCCTGCCAGACCTGATGGGACAAATAGAAATGATTGGAGAGAGATGGTTTCTCAAATACGTATGTTCTTAATAAAGTCTTCAAATAAAGAACCAACCAATGGACTCTGATTCAACTGAAGGAACTGTATCTTTGAGGATAAATTCAAGAGTAACAGATTAAAGCAGCTAGGGCAGGGGTGTCAAACTGCCGGCCCATGGGCCGGACGCGTCATGCTGAAACCGTGCCCACCCCATTGCCGGCAATGGAAAAAAAGGTGCGATACGTTGCGACACATCACGTGACATTGCAAGTTTGACACCCCTGAGCTAGGGTAAAAGCTTGTCATTTTTAATTCAATACCAGTAGTAGGAATGAAATGAAGATTGTAATAGTAATGGCAGAATTGGATTGGGTCCTAGCAAGATATGACAATAATAAACTCTTAGAAAAGCCTAACAATTTGAAATATTCATATGAAACAGCTATCAATTTGTTATAGGCAAATTTATTCATGGCAACAAATTATTCCAGATTACAATAACAAAAAGTGATAGCAAAAAAATTCAAAAGGATCTCTTCAAAATGAATAAACACTAACATTTAATTACAAAATATAGAAAATTGGGGCACAAATCCTATCCAACCATCCATCTACATATACAACTACATAATACATACCAAGGAAAAGAAATTTTGGAATGAATATGAATTAAAACATTGACTTTTTTGGTGTCAAAGGATAAATACATTTTAAGATATGCTGGAAAAGCATCTGAAAAAAGAATTTATGATATCCATACACTTTGAGAATATCTTTACAAAATCTGGGGTCTGATTTCACTTGGAATATTGCAAATGGAGAGCTATCACCTCTTACCAAATGTATAATATTTCTGGAAAGGATGCAGAAAGAGTAACCAAAATGATCAAAGTTATCAATTAAATCAAAATTATTAATAGAACACTATCTCAAGAGCCACTAATTTGGACATTTTTAAAAGAGGATTGAGAGCAGTTTGGTGTAGTGGTTAAGGCTAGAAACCTGGAGACAAAGTTCTAATCCTGCCTTAGGCACAAAGCTACCTAGGCTGGTCACTTACTTTCAGCCCTAGGAAGGAGACAATGGCAAGCCACTTTTGAAAAACCTTGCCAAGAAAACTTTAAGGGCTTGTCAAGGCAGTCTGAGAATTGGACACAATTGAAGAAAAAAAGGAGGATTAGAAAACTGAATGCAGCATAAGTCTACATGCACCTTCAGAATCATAGGCACTACATCTCTGAATACCACTTGCTGGTGAATAATGAGTCAGAGAGCCACTTGGTTTGAGACTCTGTCTGGAGACTCTTTCCAGAGACCTAGCTGACTGCTGTAATTGAGCCTTGTGCCTAATCCAGCAGACTTTTATATTCAAAATTTCTGCAGAAAATATAGTTTTAGTTCAGCTTGTTTTCTTGAGTTTGTGTGGAAAGAACTGCTGATCCATTGCCAGAATTTATGTTCTGTTTTATTTCTGTTTTGTTTGATGAAAAACAGAAGAGTCTGCCAACTTAGCTTGGAATCAATTAAATGGCAATCAATTAAATGATTTTTTTTTACCAAATGATGTACTTTTTATGAAAAAACAGTTGTTTCAAATGATGCAATGGCCTCTGGGAGTGCTAATTCCTACTGCCAAGAGAGGAACTACATTCACATTAATAATAATAATAATAATAATAATAATAATAATAATAATAATAATAATAATAATAATAATAATAATAATAGTAGTAGTAGTAGTAGTAGTAGTAGTAATAATAATAATAATTAATAATAATAATAATAATAATAATAATAATAATAATAATAATAATAATAATAATAATAATAATAATAATAATAATAATAATAATAATAATAATAATAATAAAGTTGGAAGGGATCTTGGAGGTCATCGAGTCCAACCCCCTGCTCAGGCAGGAACCCTACACGTAGGCTTTGGGCTGATCCAATAGGGTTTTTAAGCTTTTTTAGTTTCAGCTTCAGATTCTCAACATCTCTCCCAGATCATTCCATCATCCATTAAAAAGTAGAGCATACGTGCTTGGTACATCCTGGAAAAATGGTAGCACAAGGGATTAGTTGTAAAGCCTTCACACATTCAGTTCGATGGAAAACCCTCCTGCTGCTCAGTTGTCTGCTGTTTCCCTGTGTGTATGTATCATGTCCATCTTAAAAGAGGCTGGAATGTGCCTATTCCTTTAAACACTTTTCTTGTATCTGAATATATTTGATAACTACCATATTGCCCAGTATTTGACATTCCTTTTCTGGGGAAAACTACATCAATGCAGTGATTGCTACCATCTACTTACTTTCATGTTAAGCATTGTTTTTAGATTTTTGTATGTATTGTATTTATATACTATATATAGGGTTTTTTCCTATTAATATTATATTGTGGACATTTTAATATACAGTAATCTTGTCAGCTGCCAAGAGTTTTTTGATTGTAACAAATCTAATAATCAACTAAGCAAATTTGGAATAGAGAATCACATGTACATAAGAAGTCTGTGTCTTTGTGTGCAGTTTATGGCTTGCTTTGCTTTCAGAATATTGTTTTTATCTGTACAAATAACCCAACTATTTCTCAGTTTCTTGCTTTCAATATTTTTTCTCCTCTGTAAAGTTTATGTTGCAAAAAAAACCAAAACAACCCAGCCAATCACCAAGATTTTTTGAATATTTTAATTTTGATTTCATGCACACATGCTCCATTACAGGGTGGATATGAGCAGCTACTACAGACTATGGAGAAACGCATGATGGATGTTGAACAACAGTTGAGGCTGGTAAAACAGCTTCTCCAGGATAAAGTCAACCAGCTGAAAGAACAGGTGAGAATTTTAAGTGGTTTCTAAATCTAGGGTCCCTGTGCCATGATCCATAGATAATACCTGAGGATTCCTTGCACAAAGTTTGAGGTAACATTACAATCTAAGGCTCGATTCACACTAATTCATAATGTTTGGCAATGTATTGTTTGAAACCAGCTAGCGCTCTGGCCAAGCACTATGAAAGGAAAATATATATATCTATCAATATCTTTTATATCTGGTTCAGCACCTCGATTGATCTAAGGCCTTGTTGATCAAGAAAAGGCCCTGTGCCTTTACTGAACCAAAGTTTAAACTATGGCTTTCTGCAGAGTACTATGGTTTGTAAGATTGTGGTCTATATGCATTTCTTCAGGTCCCATGCTTTCTGGTTCCTTTCCTATAAATATGAGGGGGGCCAGGGGGTATGAGAATTGAAGAACTACCCTTGCAAACAGGGCACCTTTTGCAACGGGTACATGTCAAAATGGTAATGTGGAAAGTTGTGGTGAGAACAAGTGTAGAAACCTTGTGGTCGGGACAAGAACAAGGAACTGACTCTGGTTAGTTTTAAGGTATAAAAGAGTGGCACCAAAAGTGGATCGGGGCCAATCAGCCACAAGCCGTCCTTCTTGACTGCTTGTACGATTGATCCTCATTGCAATGGGCAATGGTAGGTAAATATTTGTTGTATGGTCTAAATCTCAATAAACCTCTGAATCCTGAAAGTGAGATATTTGTGGTGTGATGTCTCTTGTCTTTAACATGTTTTTCCCCTGATAGCATAGAGATGCATATTGTTCCAGACAGATTCTGAAACCTCAAAGCTCTCTTCCCTAGAGCTTCCAAAAATTGTTACTAGGTATTTTGAATGAGGCAAAAATACCTTTAAACAAAATGAAATCAAGTATAGTTTTGTCTTTAGCATGATTTGAAAAAAGCAGGCAGTAGTGATTTAGATAATAAACTAGGGTTATGCAAATCATGGCTTAATATATTGTGTAAATGCAGAATGAGACTTTTAGGGGTTGATATCAAAATACCTCATCTCAATCCTAGGTAAATATAAATAGGTTTCATGGTGGATGAGTCCCAAACTATTTCATTCTAATTGTGCTGAACGATCACTTGTTGGCTATTTATTCTGGATGGTACACGCTTGTATCAACACTTGTGTTAGACATAACATTATGGGGAGAAAATAGTAGCTAAAGCATTATTGTTATTTACACATAATCCACTCAATAGTTTGCCTGGATTTGGTACTTTTGACTATTGGATCCTTCTCAAGGGTCTAGGATAGTTAAAATATCATTGTAATGAATTTTATGTATTTATTTTATTAATACGCCACCAACTCAAGGTGGCAAACATATTTAATATCCCTTCCTCCTCATATTTTCCTCACAATAATAACTCTGTGAGGTGAGTTGGGCTGAGTGAAAATAACTGGCCCAAGGTCACCTAGATGGCTTTCATGACTAAGGCAGAATTAGAACTCATGGTTCCCCAGTTTCTTGTTGTTGTTAGTTGCAAAGTCGTGTCCGACCTATCGCGACCCCATGGACGTTCCTCCAGGCCTTCCTGTCCTCTACCATCTTCTGGAGTCCATTTAAGCTCACGCCTACTGCTTCAGCCAGCCACCTCATTCTCTATCATCCCCTTCTTCTATTGCCCTCAACCTTTCCCAGCATTAGGCTCTTCTCCAGTGAGTCCTTCCTTCCCATTAGGTGGCCAAAGTACTTGAGTTTCAACTTCAGGATCTGGCCTTCTAAAGAGCAGTCAGGGTTGATCTCCTCCCCCAGTTTCTAGCCTGGTCCTAACCACTAGACCAAGCTATTTAAATTAATGCAACTGTTTATCACTGGTAAGTTCAGATTCTACCTATTCCCATTGTATCAAAGTGCATTTCAGATATTTTGGTATTATTATTTATCATTTGTCTACTAAATGTATTTAGACAATATACAAAAGGATGACTACAGTATAGATGCTTTACAGAGACAGCTTAAAAAGTAATACTGAATTTAGCCACAACTGGAAAGTGCATGATTTGTTTCTTTGTTTTGTCCTCAACGTGGAACCAATGCATTTTTTCTTAACTATGTTTCAGCTTGTAAGAAACACAAAAGCTGATGAAATGGTGAAGGATCTCTATGTTGAGAATGCTCAGCTGCTAAAAGCTTTGGAGTTGACAGAACGGAGGCAAAAGATGGAGGAGAAGAAGAACTATCTGCTAGAAGAAAAAATAGCCAATCTTGGCAGAATAGTCAAGAATTTGACCTCCAATGTAGGATCATCAGCTCAGCTGGGATCTTAGTGCCTTTCTCTACTTGCACTTAACTATAGAGCAAACATGTCTTGACCATTTATTTTCTGCCATATTGCAAGACATAACCTTCAACTCATCACCAGCCTATGTGTGAAACTTCTTAAGTCATAATTAGCTGTACCAGTGTTAAAATAGTATTTCCTTACTTATTTTGACTGTACATGTACAATTTGTTAGACTTACTGGATTATCTATTACTTTAGGAGAAAGTCAGATGACCATAATGACTTGAAACAAAGGCAATAGAGATTGGATAAGGATGGGCAATTGGATAGCAAATTTCATGCTGGTATAGTCCCCAAAAGGTGTAGATAGCACTTCAGGGGTGGGGAAAGGCCCTAAGCTAATTACCTGTTTATGCAGAATTATGCACTTTATTGAAAGGTGAACATTTCATCTATTTTAATGCTGCATTTTGATAGTTGCAACTTTGGGGCTGTTTGTTCTGTGGTCAAAAATAATCTCACTACACATACCAAACATAAATCCTAAACAAAGTGCCTTACTTTATATTTTTTGGGTTTGCATAATAGTTTGGAATGGTGTGAGGGGGCACCACGGCCTAAGAGGTTTCATCTATTATCCACCCATCATACTACTGATTCACTTTTCATGAGCCTTCTATCCATTGCCCTGAATGCCCAAATCTTCCATCCACTGCTGAAGTTTCAGAGATAGTATTAATGTGAACATACTTTGAAGGAAATTTGGAAAAGTGTACATCCTCTGTTTTTCCAGATCCATTCAAAAGAACAATGGTAGCCCAGATATCACCTTTTTGCCAGTTTTTAGGATAGCTAGACTAGAAACTCTCTGGCCTTTCAGCTGACAAACACTAGAAGAGAAAGGTTAAGAAAGTAGGTGGACATCAGAAATGGAGAAGAAAAATCAAAGGAACACCAGAGCAAGGGCCGGTGGTATAAAGAAGCAGCTTGACTCTTAAGGGAAAACCACAGATAGCTCTCTTCACCCCCAAATTGTCCCACTCTCAAGGTAATCATCTCAATGTTAGTAAGAAAGAAAAGGGATAATTGTACAGGCAATTATCAACTTACAACCATTTAACAACTGTTTGAAGTTACAATGGCACTGAGAAAAGTGACTTAATATCAGTCATTGCACTTACAACCATTGCAACATTCCAGCGATCGCATGATCAAAATTTGGGTGCTTGGCAACCAGCATGTATTTATAATGGTTACTGCATTCCAGGGTCACAAGGTTGTCATTTGCAATCTTCCCAGCTGACTTCTGACAAAGTCAATGGGGGAACTCAAATTATTTAACAATTGCAGTGATTTGTTTAACAACTGTGGCAAAAAAAAGTTGTAAAATCAGGCACAACTCACTTAATTGCCCTTCTTAGCAATGGAAATTCTGATTCCAGTTGTGGTCGTAAGTCAAGGACTATGGAAAAGTTGCGACATAAGGCTACAGGGTATGAAAACTGATGAGAAAACAAAGAACAGTTCCAAAATTCTGATGCTATCTGGCACCAGGGATTTCTACTGTCAGCATCCACACTGCTGTGTTAATGGCTTCAGAGGACAGGAAAAAATGTCTTCATTTGCAGGACAAGCTATTAGTTGGTCGTAGAACATTCTTTGCATGCAGAACATTCCTCTTAAGAATCTTAAATTCCAATAGTCTGTATATACAGCAGCAAAGCTTCATATGATTATTAAGGATTATAAACATCAGGGCTGAGAAGTAGCTGGCCTTCAGATACTAAATCTGAATACTGCTTGTATTTTTACTAATATTTTCAGGAACCAAAATTTATCATGTATACATTTGAAGAAAGTAAATTGCATTCTTAAAGAGAGTGCTTCTGTTTGAAACCAGAAGTGACTAGCAATGAATTTTGGACTGCCAAATTACTTGGCTTGTTTTTTGTTTTAAATTTCATGAACTTTATTTTAAACATCAATTTCATATTTGACATTCTGGATTTACTGTGATTTATTGTAGTCAGAGTTTCTATTTATACATATGGATTCTTAATCACCCGATCATTGTCTCTCAGCAATGGAAAAAGAATAGTTGCTTGCTTTCTCCTTGCTACAGCTACACTGAATGTGTGACCTGTTTTTGCCACACTGCCAATTATAACTTGAATAAAGAATGCAACCAGTGAGGCTAAGGCTAAAACATGTTGTAGACCAAAATATCTGCAGAACATTTAATTAGCCAATTGTGCCTTATCCTGTTTGTAGCTGCTTCTACATGTAAAGCATGCTGATTCCACCTCTGTAATAGACTCATTCAGAATTCTGCAGAGGGAAACCTAATTCCTTCTAGCGTACCAAATAATGGTCATTAGCATCAGAAAAAGGTCAGGGATCTCCATCCAAGTAATTTTGATGCACTTACTTTTTTGTAAAGAACACTTGTGGAAAGAACTAACCAATGTTTGTAGTTCTTATTTAGTGCTGGCTAAAATGGACAGCTTTTTTGTGTATGGGACCAGAATTTTTGGGAGAGATTGTTGCTCTCTCCCATGGGATTAAGAATGTTGTAATTATTATTATTGTAAATAATATTTAACTGTTTTACACTCAGTTTAGGGTTTGCACTACACCTTCCAATTCTTTCCCACCTCAAAATAATAGAAAGCTATGCCAGCAATTTTCAGAAATTATGATTAGAGATGGGTAAACAGAAGGGGCTACAAAAAAGGGTTTCAGAAGTCTGACTCCTGCCCCTAGGCAACTTTCCCCAACTGGATGCAAGTCAGATATTTTAAGATCCTTTAGATTCTTAGCATGGTAACTGGGAATGCTGGGAGTTGCACTTCCAAGGCATATTGACAGCATGAGGTTGAGTAATGGTGTCTCCCACTTCTCTAAACTTTGAACAAGTTCCCAAAGGGTTGCACGTGCACAGAAAATTAGGTGATAAATATGGTAAATTTGTCATGCAAACACAGCCATTGTTTTTGTTTTGCATGGGGCTGAAGAAAAACTGACTCAGCTAAAATAGAACTCTTTTTTCACTTAGGTTTTTGTTTTTTTTGCATGGATATGTATCACTCCAAAGCTTTTTAAAGCAAAAGTCTCTAAACTTGGCAACTTTAAGACCTGTGGACTTCAACTCCCAGAATTCTCTGGCCAACTATACTATACCGGCTAGGGAATTCTGGGAATTGAAGTCCACAAGTTTTAAAGTTGCCAAATTTGGAGAGTCCTGATCTAAAGCAAGCAACTTAATATGGTAGGCTGGTTAAAATGCTAGACTGAAAGCATGGAAACCTACTCTACCATTATCACTCCCATCCATGGGCACTCACGCAATACCTCAGACTAACCTACCTCACAAAGTGATTGTTGTGAGGATAAATTGAAAGTAGACTCCGATGTGAAGGAAGGAAGGATAATCCTGTGGGCTTCAAAACTCTCCTCCAAAAAAGATGACTGATGCCATTGCTATATTATTTGGAGCAATGTGGTAAGGCATTCTATTTGCCAGATAGCTTATCTTGCTATGATGTGCCAACCAGCATCATAGGATTTCTATAGCTGCCTCTCAGATTCATTAATTGAGATTAATGTTGCCATTTTATCAGATTTGTATTTGATATAAATATTTTGTTTTTATTGTACACTGCCCTAAAATTAACTGGAGGATGAACAGTATTAAATATGTTTAAATACATAAAACCAACCTTTGTTCCTATATTGTTAATCTCCTATTTTGCAGCAGGAGCCTTATTTTACTCCCATTATTTCTGCTATCAATTCACAGAATTTGTATTTCATGATCTCTTGGTTAAAGCTTCTTTCTTGGGTATATCTGCATGGTCAGGTATGCATACAGGCTGGAACCTGCACTACTATCAATCTGGCACTGTAAAGTACAGTCTCCTGTGAGTTCAGCTCATCTCCTAATGAATTCATGGATGTGTCTGTGTAGTTTTCTTGACAATATGGAAGTAGCTTGCCATTCCTTTCTTCAGAGATGTATGTTGAACCAACACCTCGACCCCTGGAGCTCTTGCCTTTTTTCTGACCTCTGCTACAAGATGGGATCAAAAATGCGAGGAGTACAGGCATTATAGCTGTGTTTTTCAAAGTTGGCAATATCAAAATGTTGTTGGCTGGGGAACTCTGGAGTTGACGCCCATACTTCTTAAAGCTGCTGAGGTTGAAAAACACTACATTAGAGCATCAGCCTTAGCTGTGAGACAGCTAAACCATGGCTAAAGCTGGGTTCACATTATACATTTAACCTAATCATTAATCATTTTTCTGAGCTTGAACAATACACTATACACTACAATGTACACTATAAACTATACAGTAAGGAAATGATCTGAGTTCAAACAATCAAGTAAACCTCCCCAAAATAAATCAAGATAAAATAAGTTTAACATATTTGAATGAAGCTGCTGTGTTGTAACTGATTTGCTGTCATAAATGGAGATATGTTGTATTTTAGCAAGGATGGCAATTGACACAAAAAAACAAGATCATGGAGACTTTTATGCTTTTTTTCTACTATTTACAGTGAAACTATGTACAAGTATTTATAACACAGCCCCTGTTCACCCAGAATCAGGTTTCCTCCTAAGTCTCCCACCCAGAGACTCTCTCCCTCTAGCTCTCCTGCTAACAGTCTTGTTTTCCTCCCACTTTCACTCAAATTCCCTCCCCAATTTGTGGGCTTAACAAGAGAGACTGTGGGGGGGGGAGAATGGAGCTGGAATTTTACTATCTGATGCTCAGCACAACTTGACCTCATGAAACTGCTCAGCTGAATGCTGACTCCTCCACTGAGGAGTCCTTCCCCAGAGACCAACAATCAATTCTTCACCTCTACTGCCTACACTCAACTGGGTTCCTCCTTCTCATCTTAGATGGAGCTTGTCTCTCTCCATCTTCATTTCCCTTTTTTCAGGAAAGCCACTCCAAGAACCAACTGCCCTGCACACTTAATTTCTTTTCCAACTCTTCTCTCCAGCCATTAATGCAGTAACTTTTTCTTGCCTTTTCTTCAATTTTTAGTCAGGCCAGCAGCATATTCCTTCCAGCAATGGAGAAGGTAGGTGTCTCTCCCAGAGCTCTGGTCCCCAACATTTATATACCAGGCTGATCAATGGGGCTCCAACCTCAAATCTCATCACAATAGCTCATCAGCCCTTATGATGGCACAGGTTCACTTCAAGGTCAAAACTGGGCACTTCGCTCCTTTTATTCATTCCATATCCTGGCTCATGGCAGCAGAACAGCAGTCTTATCAAGGCATTAAACCCCCTACGTCATAGCTGTTTGAATGTGTTGTATGAACACAGCAAATAAATTATGTACTAGACATTTAGTCTAGCACGTTATGCAAAATATATTGATTTGTCTTAGTATGTATGAGAACCCAGTAAACTGAGTTGAGTTAATCAAGGGAAAGTATGTGGACAAACACAACTACATTGTAAAGCAAATGCATAACTTGCAATGGTCCTGCTTACAAATAT